CTAAAAGGCTTTCCTCCTTGTCACCGCAATCATTCCGGCACTCATTCAATTGATGTGGTTTCAAACTGTTCTTGTGGCCAATGGTTTCGATTGAGTTGTTTAACAATGGAATTCCACATCCGCTAAGAAAAATCTCACATGTTCCCTTGTCATGAGGACCACGCCCAGCATTGCAGCACTTATTCAATTGATGTGGTTTCAAAATGATCTTGCAGCCATTCCTGTTGTTTTAGTTGGAGTACATGTTCCGCCTCGAGGCAGCAGTACAGCAGCAGGAGGAGACCCTAGCCACTCCCGGCCCAGAATGGGCTGCACCTATCCCTGCTGCACCCGCAGAGCTTTCCAGCCGGAAGATAAACCCATGGGCGAAGGAAAAGGCAAGCACCCAACCAGCTCGACACGACAGGAGTTCCCAATGGCACCGCTGGATCCAAACAACAACAATGCAAATCCCCCAAGTAGGCGTTGATAGCGAAACACATAGGCACCGCAACAAAACTCAAGAAAAATGCGCCAAAAACGCCAGAGGTCGCTTGTGTTTAGGGGGTAGGCACGACTTCTTACGTTAACTTCTCCGCAGCTAATTCTGGCATTCTGCAGCCCGTGGGCACGACATTGTCTGTTCCCTGTAATTATATTACAAAGAAATAAATTAGTCGGAATTTTCGGACAAAGCCTCTAATTTTTACGGAAATTTAAATATTTCGAAATTTCCGAGATTTACAAATTTTCTGGCATATTGATGGTATGGGATTTTGACTTAACCGCGAGATTTTCCCGTAATTTGGTGCTTCGGGAGTTCGCCTCTATTTTCTTTCTTTTTTGTACCGGATATTCTCTAGTATATATTAATTATTTATATAAATTAATTTTGCAAGAAATATCCAATATTATCCAATATTAACTAATGGATTTCAACCGGGCACTAAAAAGAATGTCCGAGACAACTTTGGTCTGGAAATGTCTGGAAATTAATTCCATAGATTACTTACACCGCAAGGGAGAGCGAAACAACAGGAAATATACCTTGGCAAGAACTCTCCCCGTCAGCGAAAAAGGAGGCTGGCAACGCCAGCGACTTAAAAACAGCTCCGTTGCATCCGTTACACGGAGGGCAGCTCAGCACCTTGAAATACCTTGAATCTCTACAAAATGTGCCCCTCACATCTGAGATCTGAGGGAAGTTGGCAAGGGTCTCTCACAACTGGCCCCCAAGGTGCTTTCTGGCTGAATGATTGTGCTTTCAAGCAGCAACCATTGACAGCCTTCAAAAAACGCTGTCTAGGCCAAATTTGCCAGCAATCATGTAGTGTCGAAGCAAACCAAGCGCCTCTCAGTCAAGTGTCAGCTTCATCTCATCCTCAAATTGGTACAAACATATATAATTTATATAATCAATCTACTAGTAGATATATTATCTAGATACCCCCCTTGGAATTGAGGGGCTGCCCCGGACTCCGAATTCTTTAGACCATAAAACTCCTACCAAAATAAATCCTAAACATACCCCCTCAGAGGAACCCCAGGCACAGAGATGGCGCACATGTAAGCACCACCCCCCTTGGAGGATCATCTCAATTACTACGGTAGTAGTATTTGATTTATGTTTGGGCGACGTGTGAAGCAACTGAAAGACACTCACAAAATGACTCCAAGATGATGTAATCAAGATAGTGTCGCAGAAACTGATCTGTGGATCTTGAAAGGTCAGAGACGTGCATCCACCTCTGAAAGAAGCAATAAGACATGGATCAACTTCCATCAATTAGGCTTACTCGTGTTGAACAAATGCAGTAAGGTGTTGCAGCCATGAAGGCCGCATTCTTGTACGTCTGCCGTGACACTGAATGTGACATATCATGACATATCATGTCATCGTAGAACAGAGCATTGCACCATCCAAGACCTACACCAAGCAGGCTAAGCCTCGCGGCGCACCTGAGCGGGCTGAAATCTGCTCGACAGTGAGAGAACAGCGACCAAAACAGTGCTGTGAAAACAGTGCTGTGACGCTGACGTGTCTTGCGCATGACATATGTGATACTAAGCCATGAGAGCAAATGATTTCAAGCGCGCATTTCTATATACGAGTGCCCACGCCTGAGAGTCCGGATCTGTCTTTGCGAGCTTTGCCAAAGTCTGGCAGTGCGAAGAACGTTAACATCGTTAACATGCGCCAGTTTGGCTTCTGACTAGCTTCAATCGTGCGAAAAGTCACAGGAGCTCAAAACAGCCAACATGTTGGTTTCACTAGTCAATTCAAGTCTCGTCCCAGCCTTGTCACCCTTGCGGACTCCACGTTTGCCCGCGCAGTGGAGGGCCTGCCCCGTGAACGAATTTTGACCGTGCTTGTCTTTGGTGGACACATCTTGTGTGCGAATCAAACCCTGCCAGTTTACAGTACGAAATCTTACGAAATCCATGCCCTTCCCTTTTTAAATCTTTTTAATGAAGTCCATCTGGAATACCACTATGCCAGTGGCGCTCCTCTGCAACTAGTAAGCTGATTCTCGCATAACTTGTGGAGCTCCAAGATTCACTCTCAATAAAGAAAACAGGTGTTCCAAGGTTATCGCGATCTCGCACTGCCTCCATACTGGCCAAACGCACTGCCACATTTTCATCCTTCCATGGCTTTGGGGAGATTGCATCGGATTGCCAAACACTTTGCACGGAAGGCGACGTCAAAGCGCAGTTGCTTTTGAAGGTCTTTCTTTCACAATTTCACATATTTTCACTATTTTCACACTTTGTTTTTTTAGTTTCTCGGCAACGCTGCGTGGTCAACGGTTTTTTCTTCTCAAGGCGTTGAGCCCAGACAGCCCAGAACGTGGGCAGCGGGCCGTGCTCCCAAGCGTGGAACTGCATGAGCTCAGCCGCAGATGATCAATGTTGGGTTGTCCATTGCGATATTCACGAAGTGTGCCTGAGGAATGTTGTAAGGTCCAAGATTCCCCATAGCCCCCGTAGCACAGGGACTGAGTTTGCTCGACAGAATCCATGGATCTCGGACCCATCCCATCTCTGACAGTGCGGCACTAGATTTGAATTTCTGACGATGGCATTATCTTATTTCACAACTAGATAACTAGCCAAACATGCTTGAGGAGTAGGATACGGTATATGATGCATTATGATAATGATAATAATAATAATAATATCTCGAATCTAAATGTAGCTGTAATACGTGAAACGAGCAAATATAATCATATATAATATGTATATGAACAAGTTTCTAATGTTTCTATCAATCTTAAATGTAGTGTGTCTTGCTACATGCATCACCTCTCAGTTTTAGCTCAGTTTGAAAGTTGAGGCGACCATGCTACTCTGGCTGCATCTATGCCCATGCATCCGACTGCTTCAGACCATTATCAAGGGCATCTTGCCAGGGTGAGACTCCAGTCCAAGCATCAGGCATGAACCGCGGCACTGATGGAATAAATGATACCATTCATACCATCCAGCGTCAGCTGTTCGTTCAATTCTGGTGCTATGTTGGGAAATCTTGCCAACATTAACAAAAAAAGCAACCAGAACTTGGGATGTGGGTTAAGACATCTAAAATTCTTTGGACGGCTCTCCTGGAATCTAATTGAGCTTTGGGCGGAGGTTGTACCATGTTTTAGTGTAGTGCTTATCTTAGATTCACTGCAAGGGATTCATGTCAAATTCTTGGCAACTGGTCCTCAGGGATGTCATTGCCCGCCAAGTCCAACTCCTCATTGCGATGCACTTTGCATCAGCACTCAGCGAACGGCCATGATCCAAAATAGTTGTTATATGTTTTTATCAGATGTTTGGTGTCAGATAATGATGCCGCTCAACTGCAGTTCAAGTCAGCAAGTATAGTTGAGTGAATAGTATTGAATAGTTGAAATGATGTTTCGCAACCTCCGTCACAGCTTCCCTGCCTGAAGAGATGGATGTCCTGTGACAACCTGGCGAAGTGCTGCGGCAGATGGCCACGTCAAGTCGTTGATGGCCAGATTCAAATATTGCAGTGTCCTGCCAGACTGGCCCAACACGACTTAACCTCACATCTCTTTCAACGCACCAACTGCTTCAACTTGTCTCGCTCACTCTCTTCACTTCCCAAAATCTATGATGGATAAGATATATGAAACTGCATGAAACTGCAATACTGAAATGCAGGCGAAGGCAAGCTATAACAGCCCATGTGGGATAAAATGTGTGCGCCCAACTCCAATTAGAACAGACATTCCTTTACTCGAAGATGCAGGGCAGCATATCATTGCAATTCCTGGCCTGTTAGTGGACAACATCTGGGCAATCGCCATGCCACCCTGGGGATCGGCTGGCATCCAGAAGGACATTCGACAGTCGAAGGATGTGCAAGATGTGGATGTGCTCTCAAATATTCAAACAAATTGTAGGCAAACCCAGAATCAATTAGAATCACATGCATATTGTGCTATGGGCGCATGATCTGCTTTGGAAGGGGTCAGCCATGGCGACGAAATCTACGGCGCTGAAATGTTCAAAGGCATGCCACCATGCCAAAAAAAAATAAGAGGACACCAGTGGTTGGATATCGTGGCATTCGAATAAGTATCTTGCCATATCTTGCCCAAACGTTTTGCGATCTATATCGATCTATGTTTCTCTATGTTTCTCCTCTCCCTTAAACGGTCTCCAGGTGGCGCCTCATCACCCATGGAGTTCCAGCTGAGATCCAGTGACAGGAGATGGCGGTCCTCTGCCAGCGCCACGGCAAAGGCTTTGGCGCCAGCAGCCTGTCACGGGGGGAAACCCCCCAAATGCTAAACACGGTGATCTATTTTGATTATTAGATGGTATTTTAAGTATTGGGGTGTCCCTAATATTCCAATGAAAACCCTAACAGTTAAAAAAACACGAATTCAAATTTGATTAAATCCCTTATTATATAAAATCTATATAAAATATTGCCAAAACATGGATTTCGAAGCTTTCCCCTAATATTCCAATGAAAACCTTCATAGTAAAAATAAAGATAAAACTTGTGAGATGGGGCCCTAATAAAAAACCTCCAGGTACCATTCTATTTTTATTAATAGGGGATTGAACCCATTGTTTCACTATCCTGTTCTCCTATTGATTTTCAATTACCACAATTAAGAATCCAATTGTGCCCAACCAAAAAAAAAACGGAAGTGCCACACCAATCCTTTTTTGGGGGGGGGGAGTTTTAGTAATAGGAAGAAGGGATTATCTCGGCTGTCACTGCCATCACAATGACTCACTATATCTATATCACATGCTTATCATCAACATCTCTGTACAACAAATCCTAAGTCCTAACGACTTAGAGATCTTAGACGTCGGATCTTCCAACAGTTTCCACAGATCAAACTGCCCTTCCATTCTCCCCCATTCCTCCAGTTGATTGGAGGAGAGATCCAGTTGTTTCAGGTGCATCTTGGGCAGCTGGGAGGCTAAAGAAAAGGCTCCACTGGGCCCCAGCTGATTCCAGCTGAGATCCAGGTGCCTGATGCCGGGGTTCGGGGGTGCGTCACGCTAGTTTCTCCCCAGTTTCTGATGCGAGATTTCTTGATTTCTTGATTTGTATTTTGTATTTATATATAATTATATATACAATTTAGGAGGATGGTCTTGATTCCTGATTCATTGAATATTGAAAATATGTCTTTGCGACATCCTCAGACGACATTGCTGGAGCTTGGGATGTTGATCCCAAAGCTAGATAAAGTGGAAATCAAAAAAAGATCGAAACAGATCGAGGTCTCTCTCAATCTCTTTGTGGGGCAGTTGGCAAATACCAGCATGGCTGCGGGCCTTAGGTGGCAAGTGGGCAACATGGGAGCGATCACGTCGATTCCTGGCAGCACGAGTCTTCTGAAGTCTCCACCATGTAAATGTGTCTCTATTGTATTAACAACACATATATATATATATATATACATATATATACTATGTTATATGTACATGAATATGTGTTTTTGAGAATACACATGTATATGTCTGTACCATGCATTGCCATGTAAACATCGGGCGTTTACACAAAGATCTGTCAGGCTCATGTGTTGTGCCTCCAGGGCCAAGCTCGTTGGAAGCCAGGATGAGGACCTATGCAGGTGGCACCCCCACTTTCAGGAAAATCTTCTCCATTAAAGTTGCACCTTCAAGGACCTTCAGGGATCCCACATTCTTGAAAAAGTCCATTGTAAACATTTGAAAATGTCCTTTAACCTGCTGCTTGTACCAGCCAAATCTGGCGAAGAAATCAACATGTCCTGACTGCACTGCCAAATGGTCCTCGCCTCCAAGGATGAGGCTTCCAAGACTTCGGCCAAGAATGAAGCCTGGCTTTCAAGATCTTTCCAAGATCTTTCCAAGATCTTTCCAAGATCTTTTCCCATCAAAGCTGAAGCAACGAATCAGGTCACAGCTGAACCTGACCAAAATCGCTCCGCCATGCAGGCGATGCGCCTGCTCGGGTCCCAGCTCGGCATCACAGCATTGCACCGCTCTTTGTCCGTCCGAGATGAGCTGCAACAATTCATCCAGGCTTGAGGCCTGGCGCACCGCAGGGCACCAGCTCACCAAGAGACTTCATAGGGGGGAGAATGAAAGTGATTGTTGTATCTATATGTAACATGTATACTAATATGTCACATGATTGCATCAGAAATTATTAGGATTCTCATGCGTATATATACGCGCAACGCCTGGGTTCTGCCCAGGCGTTGCAGCGTATATATCTACAATTCACAAACAAATGATATTGCAAATTACAGTAATTCCTATGGGAAAAATAACAAGGGTATTAGGGACTATTAAACAAACAAGGTCAAAACACCCGAAATTCCTATGGGAAAAACAAAAACAGCATAATATTTGAAATTTCTATGAGAAAAACAGAAAAGGTACTAGGAAATTTTAAACTCTCAAATCGTGAAATTTAACATTCAATTAGGAAGATCAACAAAGATATTAGGGAATGTTAAACTCCCACCGCCATTAAACCTTAAATTCCTATGGGAAAAACAGCAAAGGTACTAGGGACTATTTAAAAAAAAGGTCAAAACACCCGAAATTCCTATGGGAAAAACAAAAACGGTATTAGGGAATATTAAACTCCAACCCCCGTTAAACTTTACATTCAATTGGGAAGATCAACAAAGATATTAGGGAATATTAAAACTCCCACCGCCGTTAAACTTCTACATTCATTGAAGATCTTCAATAAGGGTTTAATTCTCCCACCCCCGTTAAACTTCTACATTCATTGAAGATCTTCAATAAGGGTTTAATTCTCCCACCCCCGTTAAACTTCTACATTCATTGAAGATCTTCAATAAGGGTTTAATTCTCCCACCCCCGTTAAACTTCTACATTCATTGAAGATCTTCAATAAGGGTTTAATTCTCCCACCCCCGTTAAACTTCTACATTCACTGAAGATCTTCAATAAGGGTTTAATTCTCCCACCCCCGTTAAACTTCTACATTCATTGAAGATCTTCAATAAGGGTTTAATTCTCCCACCCCCGTTAAACTTCTACATTCATTGAAGATCTTCAATAAGGGTTTAATTCTCCCACCCCCGTTAAACTTCTACATTCATTGAAGATCTTCAATAAGGGTTTAATTCTCCCACCCCCGTTAAACTTCTACATTCATTGAAGATCTTCAATAAGGGTTTAATTCTCCCACCCCCGTTAAACTTCTACATTCATTGAAGATCTTCAATAAGGGTTTAATTCTCCCACCCCCGTTAAACTTCTACATTCATTGAAGATCTTCAATAAGGGTTTAATTCTCCCACCCCCGTTAAACTTCTACATTCATTGAAGATCTTCAATAAGGGTTTAATTCTCCCACCCCCGTTAAACTTCTACATTCATTGAAGATCTTCAATAAGGTTTTAATTCTCCCACCCCCGTTAAACTTCTACATTCATTGAAGATCTTCAATAAGGGTTTAATTCTCCCACCCGCGTGAAACTTCTACATTCATTGAAGATCTTCAATATAAGGGTTTAATTCTCCCACCCCCGTTAAACTTCGACATTCATTGAAGATCTTCAATAAGGGTTTATTTCTCCCACCCCCGTTAAACTTCTACATTCACTGAATAAGGGTTTAATTCTCCCACCCCCGTTAAACTTCTACATTCACTGAAGATCTTCAATAAGGGTTTAATTCTCCCACCCCCGTTAAACTTCTACATTCATTGAAGATCTTCAATAAGGGTTTAATTCTCCCACCCCCGTTCAACTTCTACATTCACTGAAGATCTTCAATAAGGGTTTAATTCTCCCACCCCCGTTCAACTTCTACATTCACTGAAGATCTTCAATAAGGGTTTAATTCTCCCACCCCCGTGAAACTTCTACATGCATTGAAGATCTCCAATAAGGGTTTGATTGATGATGATGATGATGGTGATGATGATGATGATGATGATGCGTCGTCCGTCGTCGTTGCGGGTCCGGGCAGAACCCAGGCATTTGCCGTATATATATATAATATATATATAAGATATACATATATATATAAGATATATATATATAAGATATATATATATAAGATATATATATATAAGATATATAATATATATATATATCTCTTATATATATATATATCTTATATATATTATATATATACATTATATATACGTATGTGTGTGTGTAATATGTAATATGTTCATTGTGATCGTTTGTTGTCTCTATTTAAAGATCACAGCAGATTGTGCGACCAGGCCGGCCTCTGCAGGCTCTGGAGCTTCCACCACCTGCCCATGGGACAGTGACTTCAAGTCTTGCTGTGACTTTTTTCTGGTTCAGACCTTCCAACACGGCTCTGACTCGATATTCAAAAAGCCGATTTCTCCAAATCCCAGTGGCACCTCTGGGTGAAGCGCCTTATCGAAGGTGGGGGAAAATCATGGAAAATCTAGTGATTTGATGTGATTTGCCCACTGACAGGAACATCAGGAACCATTTTGGTGGGGCAAGTTCATGCAAATATGTTGTAGTTGAACGTGTTGGACCTGTTGGGAGTGGTTGAACCATCTTGAACCTAGGTCTTCAGCGCACAGCCCCTGTCACACCTCCCTGCACATTGCAATTGCACCTCTCAACGTGCCATGCAAACATTGCCCAGTGATCCCTTGCTGCCAAATTGCCGACAACTTTGTGTCAGGGCTAGATCCCTCATCGCCAGTTCTGTGCCTTGGACGGTGACACGGTGACACGAATTTGGCAATCGAAGTGGAAAATTAATCATTGAACCAGATTGAACATGACTTTTTTCCATAGTTTGATTGAACCGGTTGGCCATGATGTTTTTGGCAAGGCCGCAGCCTAAGTATATTAGATAAATTATTAGTTGGCATTCTGTGTTTCTTCCTCACAAATCAAGGTTTGCCTCCAGATTGAATGCTACCAATATGTTGCCATTCTGCCGAGGCACCCAGTCACCGTGGATCCACGGGAGGTGCAACGATCACCTGGAACAGCTCCATCACTCCATCTCAATGATCTCATTATAGCGTAATATCTCATATTATCTCCATGGGATTCTCCATGGGATTCTCCATGCTTCAGAGATTCAACCTAAAATGGCACAAGTCACAAGTTGCTGCATTTGCCTTCAATTTTGCGATATTTTGGGTGGCCGCTGTCCGGGGTGCGCCTTCATCGCTGGTGTCGCGGCTCATGCCTTTAGCCAGCAAAAGACCTCCCGCCAGGTATCAAAGAGAACTGGGCTCACCATCCACATACCAGCACAATCTAAGAGGACATTAAATATATGGCTCATGTTCAGTATCTCACACGGGGCAGTCCCAACTGGCACAATCAACTTGTGTGTCTGTATATGTTCCCAAGGCTCTTGAAGGAAACGGCCTTGCACTTGGCTTGCATTGAATCCTGTCAAAACAGCAATATATCTATATATATACATATTATAAAAATGTGTGTGCATACACTATTGTGTGTGTGTGTCTCTTCTATATTATATATATATATGTGTTATATTTTATTTATAATTGTAAGATATTTGGTAATACATTATAATAATTTGTATATATATATTATATTATATTATATTATATATAACAATTAATTATATAACGCTATATAACTACGTATGAGATAAAGAACATGAATTGGTCAGCTCTCCAACGCGGCCTTGACCTCCATGTTTCCGCTGTGGCGTCTCCTGTCCATATGGGAGACTCATGCAGCTTGCTGTATCGCTGATGAAAGTTGGCCCCTCCAGCGGCCCCATGCCCCATCTCCTGAACCGAGGGCCAACAGCGAAGCTCGCTTTTCCGGCACGCACCGCGGCTGCTGGAGCCGAGGGAAGATCTGCGGTTGCGGCCCTCCTGGGAGGCGCAAGAGGAAAGTGGAAATCAAACAAACAGTAAGGATTAGAGTGATTTGAAAACAAAGGATTTCTTGCAGGCATGAACAATTTCGGAGCGGCTTCTAAAAGTTGGAGAGGATGCTTCAATTTATCCCTGGTTTTTTGAAGCTTGAATACTATAAGCATCTATAAGCCATCAATCTAGATCCCATTTCGCGTTGTCTGCCCAGTCCAGGCCATCCAAAGTGAGATCTCTCAAAATACCTTTGCCACCCGTGAATGTTTTATGTAACTGCTCTTCTGCAGCACATGTTAGCTACCCACATTCACATTCCCGATGATTCATTTAATCTCTGTTTGGTGTCAAATTGAGGGCCACTTGAGGCCTCACTTATTCTGTGAAAAGATTGGGATTGCGAATCCCCATCCTTTGTCGCTAGTGGATCCTAGTGGGACATGACATGGCATGACGAGGTCACAGTCCAATCCGCTGATCCTGTGGAGGTGTCCAAAACGGCCGTGGTGCCGGTGGCAGCTCTGGCCCAGTGGTGACTGGTCTCGGCGGAGGAAAAAGGCGAAACGGACTGCCAGTGGGTCCTGGACATCGAGCAGGCATCGAGCAGATCAGTGGACCGTCTGAAATCGTTTGAATCTCCGTGAGGAGTCGAATTGATCAGGAAATCCAGGAAATCTCTAAACTGAAGTTGGAACAAATGTGAGAAGAATAACGCTTATTTTTTTTCGCAAAGAGAAGAGAGAGCCAGACGCAAGATGGTGTGATTGAAGCTCACTTTTTCTCAGACTCAAGAACTAAACGATACTAAAAGCTTCTGCTGCAATCGACATATATCGACATATTGCTTGCTCTTGCCTGTTTGAATGCAACCAAGAAAGCTATGCTGTCTATTGGTCTTTCACTGATGTGATCAGCGTTCCAAGCTGGAGTTGCTCATCCGAGCCGCGTTTTTGGCCACTGGAACTTGTCGAATCTCCCGTGCACCTGCAGGGAATCACAGGTCTCACTGACAGCTTCAAACAGGTAATCAAGGACCCAAGGCGAAAGAGCGGAGACAATTACGTGAGTATATATATTATATTAATTAATTAATATATGTATATATATTATACTAATTAATATATATAATAATATATATATATATTATATTATATTATATTATATTATAATATATTATATTATATTATATTATATTATATCATATATATATATATATTATGTTATATATATATATAAATATATACGTGTATATATATAGTATGAACTCTGGGGTCACCCAAAATCTGCAAAATCCGCGCGACATGGCTTTTCTTCAGAAAACATGGAGAAAAACACTGCAGTTTTGTTTCACCCACATCATCAATCTATCAAGATAATGAAAGATCTAGCTCTGCCAAGACACAGGATCTCCTGTTCTCCGCGCATCTCTGAAAATTGTTGCAGTAAATTGCAGAGCTGCTGCTGAAGTTTCTCCCGCTGCTGTCTCAACTCGAGCCTCAAATCGCTGGCGAGCCATGGCACCATGGCAACTTGGCTACTGGGCTTCCAACTGTTTAGCGTCCTGTCGAGGAAACGGAGGTGGCCTCAGAAATATTCAGACGCAGTCAGTCTCACCATGCAATCCCCATCCCAAAACTTCCCTCAGTTTCAACTGTTCCGACTAGTCCCGAAAACTTTGACAGGTACATTCATTACCAGTAGATGGAGGAAACTGGGAGTGGAAGCTCTTCTTCGTAATAGTCATTAGATGTTATTACTCATCAGTTCATAAATGTCCATAAATGTGCTTGACTTCAAAAAGTCGCTGCCTTTGCAAGGGCTGCACTGCAGGAGATTTCGGAGAGGTAAGCATGCGTTGCCTCAGCAGCTGGGGTTCAATGACCCAGTATCCCCCAGTTGAGCAGTTTGCTTCTACTTTGACGCAAAAATATCCAGAGAACCTCGAGCTCAACAAAAAGAGACCAAATGTGATTATCTGATCCACATGGATTTACCTGATACATCCTGATACTAGGGTACCTTAATGGTTTATCATGGTTTATCAGTTTATCATCATTGTCTCTATTAAAACGGCATAAAATGGCCATCCATGTTTGGGATATACATGGATATGCCATGATATACCCCATTTTCAGACATCTGGGAGCCCAGGCTGCTGCAGTTCCGCATGCAGCTCTTGGCATTGAAGCCGCAGGTGCCGTGCCTCCTTGGAACAGGCCACAGAATCACTGGGCTTCATCCAAGTCTGGATCAGTCTGGGAAATAGTGGTTGGATATGGTTGGATCATGGATGATTCGATGATGAATGATCCATATCAAGCCATCAAAACATATCAAAACAAAAGCCATCTGCCCGAATCTTCCCATGAACTCTGCCTCTCGACTTCGATACCTTGGAACAGGATGCTGCTACACCAAACTCGGATCAACTCGTAGCTTTGTAATGGTTGGTAAGGCTTACCTGGTAAGGTTGGTATGGACACTTGATGCACCTTGATGCGCTCAAATGCAGCTATGACACTCTGCATCTTGCAGCAGCAGCTCAACCATGTGCATCTCAGCCTAATTTGCTGGGCATTCTTGCTCCTATCCGCTCTGATCCGCAAGGCTGAACAAAGCTAGGAAAAGACTGCTCCCAGCTGTGCTCCCTTCCTTTGTATCCCGTTCTTATCCAGAAAAAAGGCCGAGGAAGCTCTGTGGTGTTTTTCAACGGGTCAAACTCAGCCCAGTAAGTGCGGTGCCTGTGCGGGCAGCCGCGGCTGGAAGCCTGCAGCAAAGACATCCCTAAGCAATTCTGGCGTTCACATCCTTCACTTCTTATCTTCCAAAAATATATATAGCAAAATGATCAGATTTGATCACTGCCGTGACTATCTCTGGGTCCATGTTGTGTGTGCTGCTATTCAGTTATAGCATGTTATAGCTATAGCTATAGTATTTCAATCATCGCATCAGAACAAGGATTACATTCACTTCATGTCTGCATTGTCCCCATCTCGCTCCTCCCCAGGGCATCGGTGCCACGGGCGCCATCGGTGCCATTGGCGCCATGGGTGCCATCGTCACTGGCGACATCTGCAGCGGCATTACCGAGGGCGTCGCCAGCGACGTCACCATGGGCGTTGGCGACGCTCCCACCGCTGCCACTGGTGCTGCAGGTCGCGGCCTCCATGCCCTTGGGACTAAACCATCCAGCGGCCCAGCGCTCATGGGCACGGCGCCAGGACTTGACTAAACCATGAAAAGCATTGAAATATATTGAAATTGAAATTGTGTGTGTGTATATGTGGTGTTTGCCAGCCTGACATCTGATCATCTGAGAGATAACAGGAGACTTCGTGAAAGGCCAGCTGGACTCAGGGCTCTTGCTATCGCTCTATTTTGAAGCAAACAAGTCATAGCAATTCCTCTTGATCTTTCAATCTGATGCCCTTCTCGGGGATTCTATAGATGCCTACAGTCTGTCTGGCAAGAATATGATTAAGGCATTGTTTGTCCGTATGTTTGATCCTTTTGATCGTTTATGTCAAGTTCTCAGCTCCGTTGAACCAAGACCAGTCAAGACCAGGGGGGCATCTCTGATTTGGATCTGCTTGACGGTCCATGCCAGTGCCATGCCATAGTGTTTATCAGCCACTCTGCTGCATTTCGAAGGTGGTTGAAGTACAAGCACAAACAATGGCTGAAGCGTCTTGGCGAAGATTTGTGACACGCCTTGATCTGGAGCCATTTCATCTAATTTCAGCTTGACCTTTCATATCTTGACTTTAGTCCCAGAAAGGGTTCGGCGACTCTGCCAACCTCCAAACATCCCGCGACGGCATCCAAGAATGGCAATGCAGCCTCTCGTGCCTCAGTGTTTAACAAAAGACTTTCAAAAGACGTAAAGAAAATTTGATTAAAACTATTTCAGAACATATTTAAAACCCGGCAAGAATTTGGGGCGGGGCAATCGGGCAATTATTCCAATTCCAAAATGCAGATTCTGGAGATTTGGAGGCAAAATGACCTGATGAAAACTGCATGGAAAGCACGCAAGCCCCGGTCTTGGGTTCGCGACAGCACCTGTGGCTTCGATTGCACGACAGCGCCTAGAGCAGAAAAGCTATTGACTCCAGTTGGAACGCGTTGCAAGTATTGCTCGTTTCGTGATACAAGTTCAGATACCATAAACCTTTGAACTTTGAAAAAAATCTGAACATAATTCTTGCATTGAGGCGGTTGGCAGCTTGGCCTTGCCTTACAAATCTATACAAATCTTACAATCATGAGCCATCTCTTCAAAGTCAGGTCCTCTGATTTTCCATGATTTTCCCATAGCTGCCATAGCTTCAAGATTCTTAAAGCACCTTAAAGCACCCTGCTATTTCAAAGTCCCAAACAACTCCAATGTGTGTCCGCTATTGTCCGCTGATCAGCACCTCTGCGGATCACCTTCACCCACGTGGCTGGACATCTCTGTGAGTGCCTCTGTTAGGGCCTGCGGGATCTGCGGGGAAGTGGCGGTCCCAAATTTCCGGTCCCACCGAGCCCCACCTGTGGAAGATGTCTGGAAATAATGCGCAGCATAGGTGGCCACACATCTGGATTTTCATCCTGGCCAAGGCAACGCAACAATATGCAACAATCAGACTATTGAATGGTAGTGACTGGTCACCTGAGACATACTCCATCTGATGTCGAATCCCAACGGCGCCGCACGAAGAGGTCCCGAACCTTCACTGCCATGGTGATCACGGCCATGTAGTCCGCTGCTGCAGAACCCATGGCAGCCATTGCCCACGCAGCTTTTGCTCTCACTTCCTTTCAAGTTTCATCAATGATTCATCAAGTTTCCATCTTCCTCTTGGCAACAGCAAAACCACAAGCTACACTCTCATTCTTCTGTGGTAGGACACACCTAAATCTGTGTCACTAGTGCGCAATGCAAACTGCAAACAATCGCAAGAAGAAGTTTCGCTCGCCGTTTGACCAGCACTGGCCATGTTCGTTTCGAGAGGAGTCTCATGCATCAACATCATCAATGTGGCCGCTACATACCGCTGCTATATGTGGCACTAGAAGGACGGTATTGACATTCGAGGGCACAAACAGGATGAGGATTGAAAGAAGAGGGCTAGTACTGAAGAAGCAGCACCAGATTGTTTGGACACCTTTCTTTCGCTGTTTTTTTTCGTGCATGTGCAAGCAGACTATTGAAATAAAGATGGAAATATTTGGAAAAAAATACGCAAAGAAATTGCTGAGCAAAAGTTGAGAGGGGATTGACTTTCTCTTCATTGTCATGTCCGAGGTCCTTGTAGTCATCTTGCAACAGCCGAGCCAAGGCCTGCCCGCAATAAGAAATATTCACCGGAGTTTTTGAATCTCCCAAGATTTTCGGATACCTTTTAAAAAAACGGCAACTTCCCCAAAAATCTGGCCAAGTCACCTGAAACCGAATCTTTTTGCTCCATAATTACATGACACAGTTTTTTTTCCTCATTTCCCACTGGTGGTCCTCATTTACATTGATTAACATAATTTAACCATGTCCGCAAATAGGGCTACTCACGGGTACTCAAACATCTATTTTCAGAGGGTTTTCCATTCTAAACCATCCAACATCATCCAGCTGTTGGGGCCTAGGGTAGCCCCGTAGGAAACCCATGGATTCCATGGCTTGGAGCGGCCCCGCTTCGCCTCAATGTACTCCACGCCGTCGGTTGGCGCTTCCCCGGCCTTCGCTGCGCCCCAGCAGCGGAGCGCCGGCTCGCCGGAGCCCAGGGCCTGCGAGAAATCTCGCCGGGAAAAGTGGGTCAAAATAACATGGATGCCAAACTGGTACGTTTTATATATATATAGGTAGGTTCCCTGTATATATTACATAAATATACATAAATAATAATATGTAATTATAGAATATTACAGTAAAAGTACGAGTATGACAAATGATAATCATGTCCTGCTTTGTTTTGGATGCTTATAAATTGTCACATGATATCATATGATGTCATCATTCAAACAGCTCAATCCCTTCCCGGATTCCCGGCTGCCATCCCAATATCCAAAGCTTGCAGGGCAGTGGAGGCTTTCACTCGAACATCCTGCAGAAAGTGAAGAGGTTGAGAATATGATAGAAATGATAGAATATGTTCAATGTGCTGGCATCTGTAACATTCGGAGCAGAGTTGTAAATCATTGCAAATCAACGCAAATCAACAAGGTGTCCGGGGGAAAAACGAACCGATAATGTTCTGGCAACATGCCACCAGGCTGTCTGGGTTTCGCACGAGATCAGCATCATCCAAACATCTTGCCAGCTCCTCGCAGCATTGCTCAACCGCTTTGGCGCCTGCCATCTTTTTTGGCCATGGCAGGTAGGGTAGGGAGGTAACAAGGCAACAGCCATTCAGCGTCTTATGAAATCTGTGCGCAGTGTAGATGCATCTCTGTGTGTGTAGTGTCTCAAATAACTTCTAGCCGATATCGCCGATATGCATCAAAAAGCAGGGGCGCAAGTATACGTCATTTGGATCTACTACATGACAATGCTTTCTTTTAATGGAACCAGCAGTTCTCTACTTTGATTGTAGAGAGGCTTTTCCACCAGGCCCAAAGCCTATCTGGGAAATGGACCACGCAGCAGCTGCGCGAGCGAGCGGATAACCTTGGGGCGATAGTTGCGCAATGGTCCCATGAATATGAAGCCTCTCACTAAATTTAAAGTATGGAACGATGCATTTTGCTGTGGACCCGCACTATCCTGCAGCATCTGCTTCAAACGTGGTAAATACCTTGGCTCGATTGGTGCAAGGATAATATAGGTTCCAACCTTTTCCCAACACCCAGCTCCCAACCGGCGTCACAATCACAAGCCAAGCCGCTTCAGGGCTTCCTCTCCCATGTAGCCAAGGCCTTCCACTGCACCTGGCATCAACGGTGTCCCAACGGTGTCCCAACGCACGAAGCACAGCGCAGCGCAGCGAAACGCAGCTGGGGCCCTGTCTCTTGCGAAAGATCTCCGGCTCCTCGATGTCCAAGGATTGCACCAGGAGCGCTGCAGCCTCGGGAAAAACACGGAGAACAGGGAAAACATGGGAAGAAAACATGGGAAAACATGGGAAAACATGGGAAAACATGAAACTCAGTCAAGTGAAAATGACACAACTGACACAACTCTCCAAAATTCTGCTTGAGGATATGCTTATTGTCCGTGCCGTACAACTTGTTAAATTTTGAACCATGATCCTTCCAACTACTTTGCTAGTCCTACTACAGTACCATATTCAACCCGTTGTCCCACCATGCCTCTGGGATGTAGTTCGGTGTCACCCGAGCCACTGCTTTTGCAGCCGCCAGCCGACAGTGAGGGTCAATATCCTGTTGGCATGATGCTCCATCCCCTTGAAATGTCACTCTGAGTCCAGCAGTGCCCTTGGGAATCTGCCTGGGCACCATACATTTTCGGCCAAACTTGGATGGTGATGTAACTTGATAGAATGACTGCAACAAAAGATATGAAAATAGTATATCAAATAGCAAAGCTCTGGCGGTAAAGGCCCAAACTATCCGAGATATCTGTGTAATTTTGTGTCCTTTCTGTCACGTCCCGTTGGCCCATTCCAATAGCACTGCGGCCTGCAGGGCTGTGTGCAGCTTTTCTGCCTGCGGCTGACTTGCAAAGCCCTGGTTCGCCAAGGTCTGCCAGCGACAGACGCAGCGTTTCCATTGCCCTACGCTTGGTGCTGAACTTCTGAACGCTTAGTGAATGATTTCAGAAGGGCTTCAGGGTGCGTAGTTGAAGTGTGCTTAGGTGTGATACTAAAATTACTAAAGTGTCCCTGCAGAGGAGGATAGAGCGTAAGTCTATCGATTCCGCATCTTTCAAAAAAGTGTTGTGCAAATGCTCCAGCCTCAATCGCACAGTAGCGAATGCCAGGGTCCTCATCCTGTGGGTGAGTACTGGTCCATCTCCCATCAAGGGGATCGCTCTTGAGCACAATGAAATGGGAGGGGCCAACCCCATAAATATAGAAATAATATGAAGTAACTATATTATATGGAAATACACCAAGGTTGAATCTGTTCCTTCCACTTTTCTGGAAACTCGGGCGTTTGCTCCTGAAGAAGTTCCGCGACCTCTGCTGTGTGTTCTTGCACAGGCGATGGGCCTCCGCTGATGCTCACAAGATCGGTTGGAATGAAGAATGAAGGAGCCCCGCATGTTCGAAAGATAGGTCACTTTGTAGGTCACTTGCTACTGGCATTCGCTGAAAAGCCTCAATGCTTGACGCCCGAGTTTTAGAAATGAAGAAGACGTGACACTATGCACTCCAGCCTGAAAAACTTCTTGCAAATGCCAGGTAGACTGCGGCCTGCCAAGAAAGAACTCTATGCTAGCACATGTTGAGACATTTCCTTTTTCCATCTTTTTCCTACAGCTCCTCATCCCACTGTCCCTAACTTGCAATGAGGACCCCATCCCAAGAATCTCCATGAGAGAAGGGGGACCACGCATTTCAGCGGGGTTGAGACTAAACTTATCCATACTTATCCACTATCAGTATAGTAAGCTTCACTGACGTCCAGCCTCTATCATGCATTCCCGGTTTTTCTCAGACTACCTACTGTATGCTCAATGAGGCTTCAAACGACCTTTGTGAATGCACCATGGTGCTCAACGCTGAATAGCTACGAATCCTCCAATTGGAGCCCGGATGGCCCATGTGGTTCAACGATGTCCAACGTCTGTATATTTGGAAAGTTGCTCACACCGGGATTCTGTGGGCATGACTGGGGCGGGATCCGATCGTTTCTCGTAGTTTCTCTGAACCCTGGAGACCCTCCCGCTGAATTGGCTCCCCACTGCGGCCCACACGGAGTAGCGCACCCCGCGGTCTGGATCCTCTATCGTTTGCAAGTTTTCTTGGTACGGCCAAGGCTGATTCAACATGCAAATGGACAGAAATCGGAAGCAGGGGTCCGACCAATTCTCAAACCCTGAATTTCAACTCTTGCTGGCAGCAAATGCTCCTGCACTGCCCAAATAGATACTGGTGTATCATGGTATATCGATGCCAAACCATACTAAGCCAACATGACTTGATCTCATTAAAACAACGCTGCGTTCTCCCAAATGCAGTTATAGGTGTGTCCCTCAGATGAAACTTGCAGGTCCTTGAGCGCCTTCACAAAGTCCTGCCCACGTGCGAAGGAACGTGGATCAGAGTGGCTTTTGGGGACTTCGGAAAGGACGACAACATGCTTTGCTGATCTTTGCTGTACTTTTCAGAGGGCGGTTTACACATGCCCGCAGGAGGCTGAAATGCTGCGCAAAGAGGGATCTCAACCCACAATGTTCTGGAAATGACAAGGCTACTCAAGCTCATCAAGTAGATAGATATACATACAAAAATGGCAACTACCTTTAGACAAGACTCTTGCGAGCAGTGCTTCTAATGTTGCTAATTTGATGTGTCAGATTTTAGAGCCGGAGAATATCCTTTCATTTCAGCGTGTAATTCCACACTCATCTCATCCAGTTTCATACTCCACCATTCCAGCAAGCTGCTGCACCTGACAATGCTTCAAGGCCTCTCCCTGGCCCAAGTGGCTTAATGCTGCAGTGGCAAGCCTCCGCAACTTGACATTTCTGTGCCGTCTATCACACTCCAAGGTCTCCCTGCCTCAACTTGCAAATACCTACCCATTCCAGGTCTTTCCATGCCAATTCTTGGAAATGACAATTAAATCGCGGCCCTTACAATCGTATCAAAACTATGTTGTCTTTTAACCCTGCCGGCCATACCGTCTTGAGACGCACATGCTGCAACATGCTACAACAGCTACACGCTGAAGTCCAGTTTTAACCATGAACAAACCGATCCCAACAGTTCCTCTGCACGGCCCCCTTGGGCCACTTGGCCTCCGCATGATCGGGTCTCCCATGGACAGCATGTCCTTGCCAAGCTGCAAGGGAATTTGGCAGCTGACGATTTAGCAATCTTCCTCTATCAGTAGACTCAGTAGACATTGAAGTGTTTTTCTGGAAATAGGTTGCTGATGTTTCCTGAGTTTCACCGGTTGCCTATTCTTCCATTATCTGTTCATTCTGTTCATTATCTGTTCATTGTTGATGTTCACCATTGTTTACCCAGGCGTGGACTTCTCCAAAGTGCCTTGGCCATCTGTGCAGCTGCCAAGTGCCGGCGCTCGAAGGTGGTGCCATTGTAGCGCACTTTCCTTGGCGAATGGTGGCGATATTGCAAGGCGCGTCAAAAGGTGGGTATCATGTAGCACAATTATCACAACTCAATTGTCCAGCTTCACAGCTGTTCCAACAAAGGTACTGCTTCAAAAAGGCACTGCTCTTTTTACTGATTGGTTGCTTGTCCAAAAGGAGCCATCAACCCACGGCTTGACTAGAGGTTTTGCTCCGGATTTTTCCTTATTGGGTTCGAAGGTTTGAGACCTCCCAACTGAGAAATCTCAGAGATTCAAAAGGCTCAATTGGATTAAGGATAGTGGGGAAGGACAATAATGTGGAGAAGCACACTGGCGTATTACTTTATGGCAATTTAACCCTTGGGATCTGTTTTTCCATGTTTTTCCTATGTTGCTGGGGCTCGTTCTCCGAAGTACCCCACAAGACAAGGCGTGGGTAAACAAAGGAAGCGATGGCCACAGAAAGGCATGGCTATTGCAGTTTTGTCTCTGCGACATGGCTGGCCAAATGTGCGTCGCGCGAGTTGCCGGGTCGGGTCTTTGACACAAGTTTCAATAGTGTTCAATAGTGTTCAATGGTGTTAATGAATATTAATGAAATTCTTCCATCTGGAATCCAAAAACAAGGCAAAAAATATGAAGGATTATGAAGGTGTCTTCACTACTATGCAGCAACCACAATAATGATCTCAGTGATCAGCGTGAAGGAGGAAATTGAGATTGCAAAAAACCTCAGCATGATTCTGCTGAAAATGTGTTGTATCAGCTAGAACTACCTCCGGAGTCTATAATTACGGTAACTGGCATTTGGGCCAACAACCTGCGATAGAAATGAGATAAAGCAATGCCCCACTGAAGTAATTGGTGCCGCCAGGCTGAGACTCAAACAGTGTCGAGATTTGCAAAATGTGTATCCATTTTCGCCCACAATGACATGCTGGAACATGAAAAGCTTCACAGTGCCTTTCAGCACTGCCGAATCAGAGATGCCTGCTTTTTCAAACGAGCAAGTTATAGATATATTCAAACACATCATTGCCATTCATTGCTGATATTGCCGTTCTTTTCCGTTCTTTTGTGTGTTGAATGAATTTCAGCAGGCACAAAGCCAACTGCATGAAGTTGCAGCCAGCGAAAACTTGACACAGGTCAGCTGCAGCTGACGGGACTCATCCCTGACAGGCGGTGACCTCTGTACATCACGGTACCACGGGGTGCCAGGTGACATCAATGTAGGAAGTGTCTTCTTGCGAAAATGGAGGAAGTATACAGTACACACTAGATAGCAACAGATCACATTAGTACATTAATGCACATTACGTGTAACAAAGGTGACCACTTAACAGCGGAATCGACTTCTAAGTGCTCCTGACTCAGACCATGATGTCTACTTCAGGTTGAGGTGGGATTCAAAATGAATCAAAGGTGCTCCAGGGATCTGCAAACAGCAACTTCTATGAAGGCATGCAACTAAAGATCCTACTTTGAAAAAGGCGAACAAATATGAAGAACACCATCTGCAAGCTACTGGTAGTGTCTGTTGTGTCAAAATCAATTCAAGGGAATGTGACAACAGTGCGGCAATGCCAATCAAACAAAAAGAACTAAGCATCCAGGCAATCTCCATGAAGGAAGGCTTCAAAGAAGCGCCACCTGTGCAGCAACTCCACAGTAGTAGGGGGCAATTCACAGGCAGTTCGGACTCTAAACTGTGGATTCGATGGGATTCGATTTGATGAGAGAAAAGTTGTTTAAATGTTGACCAAACATTCCGATACGTTCGGTATATGTCAGATCCTCCAAGATCGTCATACCTGTCATGATTTGCGTCTCTTGCAAATACAGCAAAAGCCTCAAACCTGCTGAAGTCTAGCCGTTTTGGACCTTTCTGCGTCTGCCCCACAAGATTGAGACATGGATAGACATGGTGATCCAATGTCATCAGTTGTCATCCATGGCTTCGCCTACCAGGAAGCCATCGATGTTTGGTTTCGCGATCAGCTCCTTGCAGTTCTCGGGGGTGACGCTGCCACCGTACTGGATTCGGATCTGCCGGTGCGACATGCCAATGGATGGGGCGGATCGGGCATGATAGGGATTGATAGGGATTGATACGGAGAGAATGATGCAGCCAAGAAAGGTGCAAGATGGTCCCATCATGTCCCATCACTTCATTATCTTGATTCTGGATACATAGAAGAAGCATGAAGAAGCATATAATATCATATAATATAATATATATATAGTTAAACTATATATATATCATATAATGTTATAATCATAGTTTGGTGCATGACTTGATGCCAGACTTGGGACTGCGAAGACGTTTTAGGAGTCCATCACCAGGGCACCAGGGCACCTTGTCAGCGACCTCAGCACTCACAGCCTCCTTGATGTAGGCGCGGATGGCTGCCTGGGTCTCCTCTGCTTGATCTGGTGTGGCCACCTTGCCGGTGCCAATGGCCTCAGCATTGGCATCCAGTGTGCTGATATGCATTGATGTGGATATCAAATGATATAAATATGATATAAATCTATGTATTTATCAATAATATATACAGATATATACAGTAACTATAGATATAACTTATATGATATATGTATAATGTATATCTATATAACTATATGTGTATAAATATAAATATGTACATGATGCTGTGGTAATATTAATGTACAGTATAGATTTGTGGGATTGGCACCGCCAAGGTTGTGCAAAAGAGGGATCAACCGAATCATGAGTCAACCGAATCATGAGTCGCAAATCTGGCAAACAGCGGGCTGCGGTCCGGCCGAGATCATACAGAGCACTTTCGGCCGCATGCGAAACTCATACAGGTTCCATCAGTTTACATACCACTTGCATGAAACGAAGCTACCGAGTACTACCGAGTACGGGCTAGTTCTGTACCCTTGACGCAAGCTTGATGTTTACGTTGATGCACGCATCTGATTGCAACGGAAAACCTCTTGACTTCAAGAGATCCTGCCAGCAAAACGCTGAATCCACCGACTTGCTTCTGCAATGATGCGCTTGTGGTTTCCTATATCTTCCTACACTATTGCAACTATCATAGTTGCAGCCAAAATGCCCACACAGGCTCGTAGGCGATGATGATATTGTCCTTTCCATTCCACTGCTATCAGGCAAACGTGCTCAATTTGATAGTGCCAATGACCAACCCTTGGACCATGCTTCCTTCATCAGAACATTTGCGGGGTGTTGCACTGCGTCAAATGACAAGTGCCATGCTGTGGAAGTTTTAAATACCTGGCATGCTGCCGACATGTTTTGACACGCAAATTGCCACACAGACGACGACAGCGGAGTCCCAGTTCTGCACTTTGGGGATGATGGCAGCCAGCTGGCGCTTGTTCACCTTCCAGTCTAAGGCTACGGCCAGGCCGTTTGAGCAGTGGATCCGACCGCTATCTTGATATGATTGACCTACGTACAGTATCGGATAATGTCTTGTCATCTGTATGATCCGTATGCGGATGTTTTTGTCAATGTTGCATATGTTTGTATATATACATATAATATCAATATATATATATATCTGGAGAGAGAGAGAGATAGAGTATTGCAGTAACTGTGCCTATGCCGAAGGTTGGATACAACGCAGCTTCAGATTCGTACGCTTTGATAGTTTAGATGCCTCGTCCGTCTTGCCGGACTCGCGCTCTTCCAGCAGCTCTCCAATGCAGAAAAGCACCTGTATGACAGGTGGAATATGATGGAACAAAATGATTAAATCATCAAGGCACTGATTGAAGCAACTTCGGTCATGGATGTCATGGGAATGTCAGCACCATTGAAGTCTGACCTTCAGATTGGGTAGAATTTGGCACTCAGTTTCCACACGGCTGCTTAGACTCCCACCTTCAATCCGGCTGCTTGGCACTTCTCTACCTTCACAGCGGTGTCCTGCGATGCACCAAACTCAATCGCAAAAAGGGTGGACGGATGACCCACATCAACTACTGAACTTAAATCCCCAATCTTCAGACCCTTTTTTCTTGCGTGGCGCGAAGCAGCTTCACTGGAGCGCGCCCTTGATCACTAGGGCTCAGTAGAGCGTGGAGAGCATTTTCCGTGCCTGAAAGCCATTACCTCAGGTATCCGGAAGCATCACAAATGAACAGCACATGGATTCAGACCGCTCTGCTCCAACTGAGAAGTTCAAACATTGTGAGATTCTGGAGTGAATGTCCGCTCTTCTTGATGCACCAAAATACAGATGTCCTTCATTGTCCTTCCATGTTCACAGGTCAAAACACACACACACATCAACTCTCGTATGATTTGACCAAGCCCCATGCCTTGAGTGAGCATGTAGAAATAGTTCAAATCATCCGCTGGAAAATTATGCAGCACCTTCATGATGCGCAAGTACATGACGTAGTTGGCAAACTCTTGCCTCGTGCTTTGTGCAAGAGAGATCAAAAAGGCAATTTGTCAGTGTACAATAGTGACAATTTGTTAATCTTTGTCAATATGTGATATTTATCATCATCTTTTCAATTTATTCATCTACCATTCATCTACCATTCATCTACCGTTGCTTTTCACCAAGTCACTGTGTGAAATTTCGCACTGTTCGAATTTCGTGGTCCTTGACCCCTAAGAGTTCTGGGCGATAGGCTCGTCGCTTGAATTTCTGCCACGAGGTCGCACAAATCTTCAGCCCTCGGCGGAATTTGTGGCCGTCCCAGCGGTGCAGTGCCCGGGGCATGGACAAGTGATAACCAGGGATGTAGCCGTGGAAACGAGTGTTGTCGTAGCGGATGGAGACCTCATTTTGAAATTGAAATCGGGTGAAATTGGATGAAATTGGCGTGGATGGCATCATGTCTGGTTGTTGCCCAGACATTTTCTCATGTTCTAAGTACGAGTAGAAGACAAAATGAAAAATGCGACCACAGCATATCACAGCATGCTACTGGTAGGACTTGGAACTCTCCGCGATTTCCAGCCCAGACAAAATGTTGACAAAATCTGCCCCAAGCACATCTAAGCACCATCATTCACGCTGCCTTCAGTAAGCAATGTTTGCAGCAAAAGCACATATTCAGAGCAGGGAAAGCACTCGTTCCATGCATCCACCACCACCAACACTGGATGCGTGGTTTGTTGCTGGAGCTGAACAAATGCTTCCGCCACAGCCTGCACTGCATACTCCTCTCTGTCCAGACCAAACTCCACAATCTCCCAGACCTCAGTGGTGGAGTGATGGGATGGAAATGGATGGAATGGGATGCAGCCCCTCCCTGCCAGTCAAGGGACATTCTGCGGCTGCCGGAGCACATCCACCATGGTGGGAATCCGAACCTTTCGCCGATACTTGGCAATACCTTGCACTGGGCTTTGAGTGGGTGCACTGATATAACCAGGCCATACCAGGCCTTTGAACACTTTGAATACATGTTGCGGGGGTCGTTTGCAATGTGGAGTTTGAATAGTCAAGGGAAAAAGTAAAAAGGAGCATTGCAAAACAGCTCTTGCAAATGTCAGTGTGCGCTTCAGTTGCTCTCCTGCAGATAGATTCTCGTCCTCCAGGCACAGTGAGAGTTTCCTCTGCAAAAATTACACAGAGAAGCATCAGATCAAATCAGATCCGTGCCTGAGCCTCGGTATCCACTGTCTTCTCGATGAGTGAATGGTACAAACGGCTTGTGGCCTTAAGCATGCCCAGGGAAAGCTCACAGCTGCAGGAGATGACATGCCCAAAGCCAACCCTCATGATCTCCTTGACATGTCAAGGATTATTTGTAATGATTGCAGTGGTAAAAGTGAAAATCAAAAATAAGGACTTCATCAGACACTTCAGCATTCGAAATGCAACTTCATCAGACATCATCATCTAGATCTGTCACTTTGAGACTTGTGGTGCTTTACGTGATCTGTTTCCAGCTGCCATGGCACATGCTTCGGTTCTCCGTCGATGCCCCTGGAGCCATAGCTCTGGTAATCCACTGGGATTTCTTGAAGCATTTGACGATTGGCCAAAGACAATGCTTCCAAGAACTGCTGGGCAAACTCGCTTTGGAGGTAAATGCCGTTGTTGGAACGCTTGATGTCTGCAATCTCGCGGAGGTATCTACCTGGATTGGGTTCCAAGACCACCAGCCAGCCATTCTTGCGAGCCCACATAGTGACCAAATTCAAGACCTTCGGGGTCAGAAAGCCGGCGCTTTGATGCCAGCTTCAAAAATTGTCTTGACTATTTCATCATTCCAGCAACAAAAGCATGTGTCACTAAGCAGTCTATCCATGTCTATCCTCTAATGCTTGTCTGACCGCCTATGATCGGGTCCTTTGCCCCGCCACTCATTTGTGGTGCCCTCCAGACCCGTGCCTGGCTCTTTCCAGTTCCTTTGTGTCCATCAATGAGAAAGCCATTTTTGCGGATGCACTTCCTTCAGGGATCAAGGAGTCCAAGAAATTCTGATGATAATACACCAATAGGTGTTAGACCTGCACATGATCTGTCGGGCATTGCTATCTCGGCGGGTAAGTTGGGCTGTCAACTCAGCACTCTTGTCATCATGCAACCCGCCTTCCAAAGGAATCCGTAAATTCTTGCAACTCGGACAGCTGCGCAATCAGCTCAATTGTCAGCTTCCGGACCATCAAACCTATGTCTCCTGGTGCCAGACAAAGAAGAACAAAAAGAAGAAAGAAAGGTCGCAAGGAAGAGAACTGCACACGGGTCAACTGCGTCTTCAAGGAACTTGTGTAAAGAGATTCTAGAAAAACTCCAAAAAAGTCTGGCCAAGACATTAAGAATCATTAAGATCCAACAGGTACAGTAAGACTTGCAGACAAGTTTCGCACACGATTCGGAATCAAAGTCAGATCTCTAGCGAGCTCGCCACATCCACCTAGATTCGTGGTGGAGATTGTTGTGATGGAGTCTGCAGGAGGGTCAAGAGGTCTTGGGAAAAAACACTGCTACGAAACTCCGCTTTCTTTTTTTCAGTTCCTGTCAATTGATTTCGTGGATTGCATGGAAACGACATCAAAAGTGCGGGCTAGTTAACTGCGAATTGTCAAAAACAAATCAAGTTTATTTCTGACTTCATCTCAGTGTATACTATAGATACTGTAAAATCCTGGCAAACAAAGCCAGGAACCCTAGAAAATATTTCTGTTTCACAGTCTCCTGGCACCTTCAGGCAACTGTTCTAAAAGGTCGTTGCGCGTCAGCTTCACAAATCTACCCACATCCTCTGTGCCGACATAGTCCTGATCATCATGTTGAAGCCACAAATGTGGCCTTGGTGCATAGGTGAAAGCTGCTAGTCTCAGAGCATGTACAATACTTCGAGACCAGAATTCATAAAGACAGCATGAACGCAGGTCTCCCAGCCAAGCTTCCTTTTGACCTCCTTTGGCACTTCTGGGTCTGCTACCATCTCTTTGGGAGGCCAAAGGCTATACACGTCTTCGGAGGTGATCTGCGAGATTTTGATCTCTGGGCCGCCTGTGGTGCCATCCTCCTAACAGGGGAGGCTTAAGGGTTAAACATGGTTAAACTAGACTAAGAGGCTAGCGGCTAGGGTTTGATCATGTGCTTTAAGTTTTTGCGCCTATATGGCTGAAACGCAAGATATCACTGTCAAGCAGATTGAAGTCACGATCTTCAAATCCGGCACCTCCAAATCAGGGGTGCCAAGAGCATCTTTGGATTTCTCATTTGCTTTTGGCAGGTTCAACTCGCCAATTCCGATCCGTCGCGGCCGCCGGGGCTGCACTGCAGGCTGCCCTTCGGGCTGCACCGTGGGCACTTCCGCGAAGCCACGTGCGCCCGGTGCCAAGAGCCGCCAGCGAGACAGGGCACCCAAAAGGGTGCGGCAGGGCAGACGCGACATCATCACATGGCGACGAAAAAATAGGGCAGACACTTGCTGTCTATGTCAGATTTTTTCGACTTAGCGCTAATAAGTTCTGGAACACATCTGAACAACAAAGTGTATATATATAATTATATATATAATAGATATAGATAGATATAGATATAGATCGACAAATTCAATTTGTTTTGCAACTTTTGTAGGAAACGGAGGAGCAACCCGTGCTTGGTTTTTTCTTGAGTGAATGACTGTCTTTCATGGAAGGTTTCGGAGGTCCCATCCCTTGTTGGATACTTATCTGAAGGCGAATCACCTGTGTTATACCATGTTATACCCATGAAACAAGAAATTAGGGCAACGTTCAGATCTGGAGATGTGCAACTGTCTGTGACACGCATTGGACTCCGATGTTTACTGTAACCTTTGGATTTTTTAAAGGTTCATCGCTGCGAAACAATCAAGGTCAATGACCTGCAGAGCCATGGATCCAAACGGTATTGAAAGGGTGCGGTCTCCGGTGCATGAGCTGAGCGTGACATGTTCAACACCACCAGAAAACCCAGAGTTGTGTTTTTTCCAACTTACATCCGACCTCTTCAGGCCCAAATGTTTTTAACAGGGTCTGACATGTCCAGACCATTCAGAAAATTCATGCTCAGCATCCCAGGATTTCGAATGCTGGAAAGGAGGGGCCATGTTCAGTAATAAACAGAGTTGCACAACACGACATATGCATATACATATATATATACATATCCATACACGTACTAATATTCATCCATTATGTATACATGAAATATGAAAACAGAAACATATGAACATATATATATATATATGTTTATTTATTTATATAACAATACATCAATATATCATATATATATATACGTATATGTATATCCCATATTATCTCCTCACATCAATTCATATGACAGTTCTCATGCTCTTTCATCTCCAAGACTTTGGATCGTGTTCACTCCTCGTCAGTCTCGCCATACTTGCTGCGTCGTTCCGAGTGTCCGATCAAGGTGTAGCCAACCTTGTCAGCTGGAAGGAACCGCCATCCCAGCAGTCAGCTGGAGTTGTGGGTCCCACCTCCATGTCCTGAAGGTGCGCGGCCTGGGAGCATCGGCATGCTGAGAAAGATGCAGGTGGATGTGCATCAAGTACAGTACGGCGCATCGTTCACAAAATCCGCCCGCGTTGAAGGTGCCGAGGCGTGGCGGGGGCATTTTGAGGATCGACCCGCCGCCGGTAATTTGCACATTTTGCATATCATATCGGCACAACATCATCCAAATTCTCTGTTTCGATCCGACATTGCCGCAACATGGGCTCCACTTTTGGTGTCAATTTTGGCCAACAAGGCCCCAACTTCGACCCAACTTGGCTCCAACTTCGGCCCACTTTGCCCCAAGTTGGACCCGTTTGGTAGCAACTTCGGCCCAAGCTGACATGGGCTCACCATGGGGGAAATGGCCAGCCTAGCGCGAAATCGTCAAAACATTTGTTTTCACTGGGTGTTTTCCATTGATTTTTGGCGTCAATGATGCTTCGTCTTGAGCAATGTTCCCCATCTTGCGCCTCCGTTGGGCGCAAATTGGTGCGAAGCGGTCGCCAAAGGGCCCCAGTTGCACCATGTTGAACATGACTTGGACCTTCAAGTGCATCACATGGCTTTAATTTGGGGTCCATCTTGATTCAGGCCCAAACTCAGCACCTCTTGCTCAAGTTGGGCCCAACATAGCTCAACTTGCGCCCAAGTTGGGCCCTTTTGGGGGGAGTCCGGGCCCAAGTTGGGCCCAACCCGGGCCAATTTGCGGACTCAAAACGATACGCTGAAAACTTGACCAATCAAGGGTATTTTTGAGACGCTTGTTGCCGCAAGATGTTTTGATCCAGGAGCTGCTGCAGATCCGACGCAGGAGACAAGAATCGGGATTGCAGGGACAAACAGTCGAAGATGGTTTTGGACACTTTAACTAACATCCGATTGCGACAACCGACGGCGCCACATTCAATTTTCGTCTCCCATCCGAAAGCACGCATGCCGCCAAGAGTGCAAAAGTATCCTCCCTTGGGAAAGGATCAATCAAGAGTCGCTGGTCATCCAGCATTGATTCGAAAAGGGAAATTCCACGAACACAACGTTTGACTGTTTGGCTGGTTGGTCTCAAAATTACTCTCAACACGTTATCTGTGCTCAGACTCTTCGTCCATACGTTCGACGGGTCAAGCACCGAAATGTTTTGTCCGTTTCCTCTTGTCCCCCATTGATTAGGTAGCCCCTTTTCTTGACCAGCAAAGTTGCAGCTGAGCTGTGTTTTTTGGTTGTCTGGCCGGGGCCCTTATACTCCTGCTTTGCCTACGCCAACCTGCGCGGATCATACTTTTGAAATCTTTTGAAGGTGTGCCTACGCAGGGCCAAAGCCCGTGTAAAACGATGCCGCAACGTACTTGCTTTTGGAAATCTGGAAACGGAACTTTTGCTTACGCGACCACAGTCCCATCAACATGTTGCTAAGTGGCATGCTTCGCGGCACCCTGCAGGGGCGCCAGCCAGCAGGCTCCAAACCGCACCCTCCTCCCTCCAGCAGCACAAGCACCCAGACTCCAAAGCGCCCATAGACATCTTGCAGCCACGCCAGCACCCAGGTCCCAAAGCGCACCAAAGATCTGGCAGATAGATCACTGAAGGCTCAGCTAGTAGCTTTTGACTATGCTGGAGTCAAGCCAAGCAACGTGTTCGACTGTCACTAGCTTGGTGTTTCAACGTGCCGAAGGGCGGTTCTGGACAGCTCAATGCGTCGAATATGGACTCATTCGCACGTGGGCTGGTGGTCAGTCTGCACACCTGAGCCTACGCGGTGCCTACGCGAAGTCTATGCGAAGCCTACGCCTGTTCCAGGGGTCCCCTGGCAGAAATCTGGCGAAACATTCGGCTCAAGCAAGAGCCTTATGGCCCTTACAGCAACAAGCAGGTGGAAAGCGAAGAACATCTAGACTCCAGTTGGCATGGACAGCTAGCGGTTTAAGCTGCTCTGCTGCCCTTGTATAGCTGCTCCGCCGGGCGGGTTCCACGGTTTGCTCGTATAGACGACTATCCATGAATGAACTTGGTGCGGTTGAACCTTTTGTGGATAACATTGGATCAATTTTAAAGCGTGAGATTGCAACGCCGATCATGTACGAGCAAGTGAAATACTGTACAATAAAATTGTCGCCTGCGCGAGCCAGAAATATTTGGAACCTTGAAAAATGCCTACGCCAACCCTACGCAATCCTTACACCAGCCATGTAAAACAGTGTAAAACCACACCGAAAGCAACATCCAGTTTAAGCTGCAGATAAACCCCTTTATATTTTAAAAACGTAGCTCAGCTGAGTTTCAATGAAAAACATCCTTGAAGAGTGTAACAAGTATGTTACAATATGTTCACTTCAGATTACATGGACTTGTATACACAAGACACATTCGTATGGACTGAAACTCATCAAAAAGAAACCCATGGTGTTAGAAACTCGAACAATTATCGAGGGGCGCAATCAACGCCCACACAAGCTACCCAAAAAACATCACTGCCACGACAACACAAAATGATCCTCCAAATCGCTTGGCTTCGATGTTCGTGCGAGGCCGCTTTCCCCACGTTGGGCCTGTCTTGGGCCCAACTTCGGCGCCAGATGCCCCCACACAGGTCCAAGTTGCGCATGTTAAACCCAACTTGCGCTCAAACATGCCCAAGTTGCGCCACGTTGGCCCAGTTGGGCTAAAGTTGGGCCCAAGTTGAAGCCAACTGGCCTGAGTTCGGCGCAAGTTAATTAGGCCCAAGTTGGCTCGTCTTTGGCCCAACTTAGGCCAAGGACTGCCAAGTTTGACCCCAGTCAGCCACCACGAGTCCGCTTCTTTCCTCTCCGTCCTATTTACTGGGTGCGGACGGCACTCGTCGCGAAGCAACTCAAATAATACATTGATAGACCTTGCACATTGTTCGTACTGTGCACAAGCTCCTTCAGCCTCTGGCAGTCCATTCACCAGTAAACGCACCCATGTCATTCTTGCCCACATTCTGTGCTGACACCTGCCGTGAGACTTGGGAGGGTAGAGACTTTACTTACAAACTTTGACAATATGACAAGACTTTTGGTCAATATGCTCTGCTGGTCGCTCTTCGACAATGGGCTTCTCAGGAGCAGTGAGCCTCAAAAATTGTCAAGTTGTCTTCCCTAGTCTTATCTGGGTGCTTAAGACTTTGCCTGGAAATTGCAAAGAAGATCCAAGGAGCATAGGCAAAAGGCAGTCAGGACGCATTGTGAACATCTCTATATCCATGCCCATCCAGGGCAATGCAGAGCCGCACCTGCATGCCCAAGCCTTCCAGAGGAGCTTTCACATGACCCAGGTGCAGAGCGGTTGGGGCAATGACCACATCCACCTTGTCCTCTGATGGACAGAAACAAAAAAATGACCCCGAATTACCCACAGACATAGCACCGCTGGAGCTTAACATGGATGTTTTCCCGGCAAATGCAACACTACAATGATTCCTCAGGAGTTTCTTTAAAGAGAAGGTTGGCATGTGGCTGAAAAGAATTGATGAGGACGGAGTCCTCTCTATCATTTCCAGCATCAAACACATCTTGGAAAGGAGGCATCGCGCAGGATTATGGATGGAGGCCGTGGGGTGCTTCTGGGTTCGATTAATTGCAGAGGGTATCCAATGTGAATTCCTTTTCACCATCTCGACGTTTTGATGACCTAGCTGCTATCCATGGCTGCTGGCGCTTTAAGAAACATCTGAAGACCATTGAAGACTATCCTTTCTATCCCAGTATACCAGTCCGTATGCCATCCATGCTTCAAGTCATGCTTCAGTCCGCATCTTGGGATCGTCTGCTCTGTAGTGACTGTAGTGACTACACCGGCCGCACCAGGGACCTTAGGGAATCAATTTGTGCACCAGGCCGCTGGGTCCTTGTCAAAGCCCTTCTCCTTCCAGGCTTCCACCAGTGCCTGACATCCATGGCTTCATATGGCTCCAAACATGAGATGAAGAACCTATGTGTGCCTCGGTTATCATCAGTTTATACTCAGTTAAGTTTTCAATGCCGAAAGTCGGAAATATGTGTTCGATAGACATGACATCACATTGACATTGAATGCATGGAATGAATGGAATGCATGGAATGCATGGAATGCACAAAGACCAAATTCTGCTTCTAGCATTACGTCTGTGGTCTCAGAAGCTGAAGACTTTGGACTTGATCTGAAGGCCTTCATCGAAGGTTGTTCTCCACTGATGATTGTTTCCTTATGTTTCCTTGGTGTATTCACTGATATTCACTTCAAACACGTATCTTTCCTTAGCGTTCACATTCTGCGGCAGGCCTTTGCATCACCCAGTTTGCCAGGGTTGCACTTCCAGTTGCCACCGACAATTGGCCTTGGCGTGCAAACTCAATGAAAATTATCATGCCATGTCTGTAGTTGCATATAATAGTTGCAGGACATAGTTAAAGGATGTTAAATGTAGCTTACTGTCGCATGTTGGATTCCACTGCATAGATTTCGGTGGCACGATCTCAGGAACCCTTTCCAGCTCCAAAATGATCAAGTGCTAAGGCGAGGTCTTGCGAGACATGACTGCACCTGAGTGTACTGACACAACAACGGTCACACTTTGGGATCTTGTTGGCAAACAGCATGGATGAGCATAGGCATAACATGCCCAAGTTTCACCCGTGGTCGGCCTGATTGCTTTGCACGCACTAGTTCTTCAGGGCGAGAGATTCTAAATGATTGAAATGCAAAATGTGTGTCGCGCTTCAAACTGGCAAAACCTCTGTCGAAACTTTTGCTTCTGACCCAAGACAGCTTCGGCTGCTGCAAGGATGTTCCTCGTGTACACATCTTATCTCATCGCATGGTTTTCCCAGTGTCTTTGCCAATGTAATTACTGTAATTCAATAATGACATAATTATAATACATGTTTCAAAATGCTTTTTGAAAGCAAGTACTTCTGCTACTGGCCCTTGCCAACCACAGCTGAATATTGGAGAAGACTTACATTATATTTCAAAAACACATGATTCTCCCACACTCGCACCGACAACTATGTACATTGTGTATGTATGTATATATATATATATATATGTATGTATGTCTGTCTGTCTGTATGTCTGTCTGTATGTCTGTATGTCTGTATGTGTGTATGTCTGTATGTCTGTCTGTCTGGCTGGCTGGCTGTCTGTCTGTCTGTATGTATGTATGCATGTATGTATGTACAAATATTATATAATGTAGACGACTAATAAATATTACCAATACAAACTACATTGTACGCAACTAAAGTGGCAGCATGGCCGTCTCTCTGGCTAACTGCAGGCAGTGCACGACAAGGGGAGACCTCAGGTTTTTCAAATTGCTTCTACCAGGCTTGGGCCCAGCGGCAAGTCAATGGCGCTGATGGAACTCCAAGGTGTGATCTGACTTGCTTAGGCGATCAAAATTGCCTGAAAATGAAAGGAAGACTTACATCATTCGGTTTTCACATGCAGCGATGGCACGATTATCCTTGCCCAGGCACTAACTGCTTCTAACATTGCACGGAGGCACCATTTTTGGATTTCTTCTTGGTGCCAAATCAATCAAGGGGCAAAACACATGTTGTGCTTCAGCCGCAAATTGATGCTGAATCTGGAATCCCTGAAAGACAGATAATCAAAAGCCATAGTGCAAACAGCCAGTGGTCCCAAACAACCCAAAATCAGATTGCAGATTCATTGCAGATTCATTGCCTCATGAAATCTCATGAAACCACAGTGTAACGACAGGGATGTGTGTCCAATGTGTTCCCAACCCCTTCACCTTGACATGACCCACACAGGGCCAATCCGGAAGCTGCTTTGGCAATCCGGTTTTGCTCGCACTCCTGGGCCAGGTGCAGTGGAAAACGTCACTACATGATCCAAATTTTTCGAAAATCGCCAAGATTGATCACTATCTAATGTTCATGTCATCTCATATTTATTTAACATCTATATATATATATACATAATATGATATATGATATAGATATAGATACATACATGACCAACTTTGGCATCCCCTTCACCGCTTGGCATCGTCATTGAATCCCCTTCGCCTCAGTTGGAGTACCTTCGAATCGTCTCCAGTGGCGGAAATCGCCTCTCCGCCTGCGAACGGAGCCATCGGATGATGAAAGATGGGAGGTACATTGACAGATGCCACGGGACTGATTGCATCTATAATCCATCACAATCTATGTCGTATAATATATATATATATATATTTATATAAATGCGTATATATATATATATACTGTATGTGAATATGTGTGTATATATATAATTCTAAATATATATATTATATATATATGGATACTAGAGCCTACGGCCATCCAGAACCCAGCCGCCTTGACTTCTTCAGCGAGTGTGCTGATGAGCCTCACATCCAACGGTGGGTGCACAGGACAAATGCCACCCTGATGGGAAAGGGCGTGTCAACTGCCACAGGGAGCCCTGATCGTTCATCCCTGAATGTTTCTCATCATGTACATATACATCATGCAAGTGGTGTGTGTGTGTGTGCGTGTCTGCACTGTGATAGCCGTAGTACATACATAGTCATACATAGTCATACATAGTCATACATAGTCATACATAGTCATACATAGTCATACATAGTCATACATAGTCATACATAGTCATACATAGTCATACATAGTCATACATAGTCATACATAGTCATACATAGTCATACATAGTCATACAGTCATACAGTATAAATGCTTGCAAAAACCTGCAGCTGGGTGCCCTGGCTGCACTGCCGACTCTGGTGCTGGCTCTGCCTCTGCAGTAAATTCACCAAGTCAGGCTGATAGTTCATTCTTTATATATTCGAAAATGAAGGTGCTTGTGTCTGATGAAACTGAAACTACTCCTGCTGTGCATCCTGAAATGTGATACTGCTAAGAAATAAACTCAGGTTATCCAGCTGACATCACATGTGATTGGATCATATTGGATTCTTCTGCAAAAATGCATTTGGTCAAAGATGGTCTACGTGGCGCCGCCGTCTAAGTTATCTTTGTCACATGATGACCGACGCTGAACGATATTATATAATTAATGATTTGGGTTCAGATTTATATACCACTTTACAATAATTACTAAACACATGACAGCAGATTCTAAGGTGATATGTCCACCCACATGTCCGGCCAAGATCTACCCAGTCCCAGAGCAAAGCCTGCATTAGCGAGCTAACGAAGCGAGCTGTGAAGTCCATGCGTCCTGTGACCGACGACTCATCAATAATACTTGCAATGCTCCGACAAAATAAATGTTCCATGCGAAAGAAGGAAACTTGTAAGTGGGATGGCTGGTTATGGATGGTTATGACAAAGATGTTTGGATTCTTGCACACTGTTTGCCAAGATTGGCTTTCAAATGTTGATGAACCTAGCTCAATCTTGCTCATAAAGCAATCAATACTTTACTGACACTGGGAGTGAGTGCCTAATGTATCAGTCCATGAAACAGCCACTGACTCCAGGATGCCATATCTCAGACTATGATGGACTATGGAGGATATATAGTCCGATATCCTTTTCTGTCACTTCATCCTCTGGATCTGCAGCTGATTGTTAACGGCCCTGGGGCCGAAACAGATTTTCAAGAGCAGAAAGAACCGGTGTAAAGACAATTTGAATCAGATTATCAATGATAATTGCAATTATCAACGTTATCAATTACCAGTACATTTACTGATTGTCATTAACTGATTCACGATACATCAATGTGTCCTCCATGGCGTAGTGCCAACTGTGTGAAGAAGGCCAAAACCTGCGAGGGACCAATTTGGGCTATGAATGTATCGAAAATGCTCTGAAGGTCAATTTTTTCGAGATTACAATACAAGAACTGGAGTTCACTGTACATCACAGGTCGAACCTAGCGACAGGAAGCCCTGCAACCCAGAAAACCGTCGGTCACATCTGGGATGCCCGTCAGTCAGCAACACCACCCGTGGCAGCTCTGGCCTCATGAGCCGCGATGCGCCATGCGCAAACATCCCAAACCAACTTTTTCTACACTTTGCTCTCAACTGATCAGCTCAAAACCATTCAAAAACTCTAAGTCTTTCACAATCTTCATGGTTTCATGGTTCTGGTTCTGCTTGTTGCAAGTCTTTTGGATATTTTTGGATGATCCCATTGTATCCCATTGTCATGTCACCGTGCAATTGCATTAGTCGCTCCAGGCGCTCCAGGTAGCCCAGGCAAACTCCGCAAGGTGGATGACACCTTCTTAGCATCTCCGGCATCCTGCAGTACTGCGGTCCAAAATGCTGCAAGTTTTCCAAACCATTTCCAGCCTTCACCAGGATGCTTGGCAACAAGGGCTCTGGCAAAACCTCAGATGTTGCGATATGTTGCGATCGAAGCTGACCAAAACTGATCCAAAACTTGTCCAAATTGATCTCTTCGACTGGATCAGAACACAAAATCGCTTGAGTCAAACCTGGTGCTTCAGCAGGTTCGTCGCCCCAGTGGCACAGTTGCCGCCCCACCTCCAGGCACTTCAGCAAGAAGAGTGTACCCGAAAGGGGCGACCTGGCGAAAGGATGGCCGAGATGTCACCAGATGCGATTGGGACGAGAGTGGACTGGGCAACCCAGCAGTTGCATGGTATCTCGCGGGAAGGTCCATCCGTGTTCGACCTAAGGGAAATGCTGTGAGCGTATATGAATTAGCCTTCGGTGTAAAGCCTAGCTCTCCCAATCACACGCGCAACAAAACGACGGTGTTCTTTCCAGCAAGATTATCTTGGTAGTTGAAATGAGTAAATGTTTGTGCTTTCTTTAGATTTCAGATGATTTCAACACTCCGACATGCAACCGGGAATTTCACGAATCACCCACTTTCCCATGCTGCCCCAACGTATCGTTGCAGCTCACGCAGCTCCGTGTCCGTCCTGTCAGACGGGTTGCCAGGCGATATCCCCAGGTGCAGCCAGGCCATCAAAGAGTGCAGCCAAGTCCTTGAAGAATGCTCCTTCAGCGGATCAAACCTCGGTACCACTTTTTTTTGAACAGCTATGACGAAATTGACATCCACTGTTCAGCTAAACTAGATTTCATGGTGATATCTTTATATATTTTTTTTTGCTCGGCCTTTTAGGTCTTGCCTGTAGCGTTCTTGCATGCCAGTCAAGTGTTGTCAGACTGGTTGATAATCTGGCTTCATGCAACGGTCGCGCTCAACGCTGGCCGCGATGAGAGCCAATTCATGTGCAATCTCGGGAAATCCTTCATGGCAAAATGGAAGTCCCTGCACTTGGAATCGATGGGAGATTCTCTTCCAAAACGATTCAGCAAAACTTTGATTCATGCCAGCTGGGTATTCCTTCGCGAAGGACGTGCGGAAACTCCCGTCGGCCAAGCGCCCGATGAGTGGGGTTGTTGGCTTGACCAAATCTCGTTGCTCATTTGCAGCAAAGGTTTGCGGGATCGCAGCATTCGCATACAGAAGCGTGGTTGGCTTCACTCCAGCGGCGCCGTGCCTCCATTGATGAAAGGTATATTGTCGAAATGGCATCCCTGGACCACTCATAAGGCAAATGATCGCAGTGCGCCAGATCGAAGGCCTTTCGAGCTGGTAAGGCGGAGCTGGGTGCTCGAGGGCGACGGCACCTCCGCCCACCGCCACACACGCACAAAGCTGCAGTCCTTTCAAGAGAAGGCTGTTGCCAACCGACACCTGCAAGAGCTCCTTGAAGTTGAGCAGCTCCATTCCCCAGCAACTGTCGGGTGTGCCTCTGAGCGGTCGTGGGCCTTTCAGAGGAACCCCGTTCTCATCCATCTGTGTTTCAAAGCGCGCACTGCTCCAGGTTTCGCAAGGCGGGCCAAGGAGAAGAGCTAATAATAGGCCTCGACGAGCTGCAGTGAGCAAGAAGTGCCACAAGCGCTGGTCGTGCACGTTCATCTTGTCGCTGATCGCTGTGTCGACGGAGATCACCAGCACTGATTGCGAGATCTGCTCAGGGCCCTCGTCCAAATACTTCTGCATATAGTGCTGGAAGTCCTCATCACGGCGTCTGCCAGAATAAAGATGAACGATGTAAAAGGGGCCATCTCCAAGCCGTGTCTCAACACGTGGGTGTTGTACCACCACCCAATGATGTCGTGCAGCTTCTGCATGCTGTAACGCCTGGAAGGTGGAAGGAATCGAATGGCACCTCTGGTGTGGTGTAGACTGCTGGGCCGGTGGCCTGACTGGTTTGGGTTCACCTTGCTCAAGTCTCTCCCAACACTGTTGCAATGCCTTCTTCCTTGCTCTCAATTGCCAAATGTGGATATCATCCAAGAATGACATGTGACATGCATCCAAAATGGCGTATACGTCTGGATCCATGAGCGGGTGCAAATCTTGAAACTCCGTCTCAATCCAAGCAATGAAGATGCGCGCCGCTTTGAACTCCGGGATGCCCATGTGAAGAAAAAGATTAAAGAAAATGTTGTGAAAATCTTCTTCTGTCGGATGCCGCGCCCAAGAGTGCAGGCTCTCAGCAAACTGGGCAAAGCAAGACTTGAGCAAGTCGCTGGTAAGGTCTGGCTCCCACCAAGCGAAATCTGGTTCTCCTTCAGCATGTACTTGCTGTAGTGCAAGGCGCACTCTTTGTCGCTCTCTGTGATGTGATGTGGGGCGTAGCGGTCCATGATGGCGCCGAACTGCTGGAAGTCTGCAGACGCCTTTGAGGTGGTCTGGCAGATGGATGGTCACCGGGTCAGCAATCGGTTTGACCTGGTGCAATCTATCCCAGCATCGGTTTGGTCTGTAGCGAAGGTGCTGTGTCACTCTATAGGTTGTGTGGAAGTCTTTGAGGCATCCACTGCATACTGTTGATTGCACATAGTAGCGCTCCTCTGCCAAGGCGTCATGAACTCGAAATTCATGAAGTGCCCGCTGCTGATGAGTGTCAAACTCTGCTGGGCATTGATGGCAACGATATGGTTTGTCCCTGACATCCTCTGGTATGTCATGTAGGAGTTTCAGTCCTGCTGCACGGAGCTCCTCAACAATGAAGTCATGGTAAGCTCCAACTTCCCAAGCAATCTTCTCTTGTGCAAGGTGCTTGATTCCTGCGCGGCCAATCCATGACTTCCATGGTCCGCAGTGTCGCAAAGCGTCCCAAGCATCAACCCAGGACTGGCGGTCTTGCGGGAGGTCAAAGGGCAACGGTTTGAAAGAGTTCAACCATATGAGGTCTTCGCGCATCTCGACGAGCCACCCCTTGTTTGTCTCCAACTCGCGGAAAAGTAGGGCCTTGTGAAATACTGTGCCAAATTGCGCCACATGCTGCAAAAATGTCAGTTTGTGGCGTGCCCAAATTTGCCGGAAAGTAGGAAGTTGTTGGGCTCGGCGGAATTCGTCATCAGTGATATGGTCGTGCTTCCAGAAGCCCACATCATGAATTTGCCGATAGTACCCCATGAGGGTGGCTTCCAGCTTTTTGACCATTGTCGAGGGCACATCACTCCAAACTGCACATCCATACAAGAGCCTTGACATGATGAGACTCTGAAAGAGTTGCATCCTCGCTGGTATAGGCAAGCGCTTGTTGAGGAAAATACGTCGCTTCATCTCTTCAAAGGCTTGTCTGGCTGACCCAATTCTTGCGCAAATCTCCCTGGTTACATCAACTCCCATGGTGAATTGCGCTCCTAAGTGCTTGTAGGATGGAACAACTCTGAGAGAAAGAATGTGGCTTTCGGTCTCGACCACGATGACGGGCTGACGGCCTGTGTCAAAGATGCTCAAGCGTTGTTGATCAGCCCCTGGCCCTCGAAAGCACAGCACGGCCTCGGTTTTCCCCCGATCAAGATTGAGGGTAAGTCCTCGTACTTGAAAAAGGTTATGGACGGCCGCTGTAACTTGCTGAACTAAAGTGACCAGAGCCCCTGGAGTGGTTGTGGTGAGCGGGATGGCCACATCGTCCATCCAAGCAATTGGAGGCACTGTGACCCCAAGAGCCGCGCAGCCAGCCATGTAGTGCTCATTGTCCAGCAAAACTGCATGTAGATCCTGCAGTAGTCCTGACATCATCATGTTGAAAGCAATGTCTGCTAAAGGGCTACCTGGTCTGGATCCTCTGCGTGTGTTGGTGCATTGACTTGGTCGAACCCCAGAGTCATCTCGCAGTTGAAACCACGTTTGATGGTGTATGTCATGAAGAAATTGTTTGAGACCTGGGGGGATGTCGCCTTGATCTTCAGAGCGGAGTGCTTCGATCTTGGTGGCAATGGCGTGGATGTCAAAATCCTCTTGGTCGAAGATTCGCTCAAGCTCGGGGTGTGTCAATCCATCCGCAGTCAAGAACACCAGTTCTCGTAAGAGATGGTGAAACGCCGATCTCAAGTCGAGAAACAAAGTGCAGGTTGAAAGTCGAGCAGCTTTGCAAACACTACTGTGGAGCTTAAGGATTTGGATTCCTGTCAAGGTCTGTTGTGACGGGAGCCCGCCCAGCTGTCCAATGGTTTTGCGCTCTAGCATCACCGGGAGGAGCTTCTGGCGGGTCCATGCGTGTGTCACTTTTGCAAAAGAATCTGCTAAAAGAATTCCCCTGTAAGCGGCAGCATCATCCCTTGCACCTTTCTGTTTGAAGATAGTGCATAGGTGACCTCCCTTATGCCAGAAGGGTTCAATGCCCATGATGAAACTTTTGCAGATCATGGCGTGGATCTGGGGGGCGATGGCCGCTGATCCTGATCGGCATAAAGAAGAGGGCACTCCGTCAGGCCCCGGGGCCTTGTGGGGTCTTTGCCGCAGACAGTGATCTTCAACTTCAACAAGCGTAGGTAACTCCTTCAGTGCAATGTGTTGGACAGGAGGTTTTGCCTGGATCTCCTTGTTGTTCCTTTGAATGCACAGCGCTTGTAGTTGGTGAAGTTCGTGCGTGGTGCCGGCTTCAAGCTCTTGAAAGTGCTGGAGCAAGCTGGTGCCAAGGTCATATTTCATGGCATTGCGTTTGTTCTTGTTCTTGGGGAGAATGGCACGAAAATGTTTCCAAATACCCGTCAGACCTTCAACTGAATAAGTTGTGGCAGTTTGATCTGCCAGTTGTTGGTAGTACTTGGAATCTTCAGCTTGCACTGCACTTCGCACCTGTTGAGCTGTTTGCTTGTAGTCCCGTAAGGTGTGGGCAGCTGCTTGGTCGTGCAGTTTGTTCCACCCTGGGAGATCACGCGCAAGAGCTTGGCAAAGGCTGCTTGTGGAGCTTGTACATGTGGATGTAGTAGAGCGCCACGAGTGGAAGCAAGCATGTAGGATTGTATGCCTCTGCGTCCTTTTCAACTGTCGAAGCTGCTTGAAGAAGAGCTTCTTAAGATCAACAAGCTGCCATGTGGCATCTGTGATGTGGCTTTTGCGCTTCCAATGCTTTCGATGTCGTGTGATCTGGTGCAATGCTGCTGTTGTTTGCCGCGCCAGGTTGTCTGCCATGGTGTGTGGGTCTGCTTGCCAAGGAGTAGGGACCACTGCTGAGTGAAGGGTGTAAAATACCTCTTCATTTTGTAGTTGCTGACACAAATGTTGAGAGTCCCATTTTGGCTGCGACTGTCTTTTGCTAGGCAGGCATGCGTGAATATCGAAAGTGCAACGACACAGAACTGCATGATGATCAGTTCGATGTGTGCTGAGATCAATGTCTTCAGCAACCCAAGAATTCAGGGTGTGGTACTGTATCTCCTGAGGAAGGGCAATGTAGTCAATCCTCGTCGCGTGCTGACCATCTGGAGAATGGTAAGTGTTGTGAACAGGGCCTGGATGCGACTCAGCGAATGTGGCTGGGAGCTTCAGGTTGTTGTGCAACAGCCAGTGGTGAAAAACTTCACCTGCTTGGTTTTCCTGGGCTGGTACATGATCTCCGATAGCTGATGTAGGGCAGTCTCCAACATGGGCATTGGCATCACCGCAGAAGAAAATGGGCCATCCTGCTGCTTTGCGGGCAAGAGTTGCTGAGATTTCATTCCAGTATGCAGTTGCTTCATGTCGAGGTCTTCCTGAGTGTGGGGCTCGTCCTGTGACAATGACGCACTTCCAGGAAATCAAATTGATCTTGACGATGAGCAAGTTTGGGCTGGATTGCACGATTCTGATGTGGTCTTTCGTGATGCAAGGCCCTTGAGGATGTATTGGGAGGCAATGTGAAATCCATAGCTGTACCCCATCTTGCCCTTGAGGTGATGCTGGATGCCCAAGCACATGGTACCAAGGGTTGCATAGCCCGACAAGGTGGCGGTGCCTCGTCTCCTGTATGCCAACAATGATGCACTTGGCTTCATGGAATTGTTGCATGAGCACGCTTTGTCGGGAGATGCTAGTGCCCTGTTTGTGGTCCGTCGAGTGGTGCAAGGTCAAAACGTTTGCAGTGGCGATTGTAACGTCAACTGTAAATTTTTGCGGCACTTGTTCAGGGTCATCTAGTTGCGGTTGAGATGGACTATGTGGCACTGGCACTTGGGTGATATCACACTCAAGAAATCCATCCTTGAATCTCGGCACATTCGGGCTCTGGGCGTGCATTTGTTCAAGATACCAGGCCCATTGCACAGCTCGCAGTTGTTCAGCATCCTGGAGCCATGTCTGCCAGAGATTGCTATCTTGAACTTGTGCAGGATGGAGTGAGGCAAACTTCGCGATGGCATCAGCCAATTCATTCCAAGGGTTGCCTGTATGTGCCTTGATGTGCCGCCAGTGCATCCTTGAGAGGCCGTGCCTCCCTTGAATCAAGTGGGCAAGGCTACGCATCAAGATGCGGTGACTCGGGAACTTGCGAGTTCTGAAGTAGCCGCCCGCAAGATAGCCTGCATTCACCGCATCAAAGTGGAAGTAGTAGTGTGTGTCCACGTTGCCAAAGGTGGTCCAAACATGATTGCTGAGCTGAATAGCCCACAAAAGCGCCCAAATTACTGCACCATTTTCACCTATTCCAGCATGTCCATCTGGTAGGACGACTTTGCCAAGCGCTCCTCCGAAGGCGAAGTCATGCTGATACTCGATGATTAGGACGATGCCTGCGCCAACAGCGCCTTCTTGCACTTTGGAGCCATCGGTGTAAAGATGAAAGGCAATAGGGACTTCAGTGGAAAGCTGCTCAAGCTGAGCAATCGCCTCCTGAGTGACCTGCGGGACTTCAAGTCCAATTGGCCAATCTTGCACAAACTCATTGGTAGATGAATTGATGACATCAAGAATTCTTTGAACTGGCGTAAAGTCAATCTTGACCTGTGGAGGACATGGAATCGCATCTTCAAGATGCAGAACAGTGGCAGCTGGCTGAGAGGAAGGTCGTTGGGTATGAGCTACCTGCCCAACTGTTAGGCACCTTCTCTTCTCAGTGCGAGAGGCCAGTTGAAGGAAGTGCATTTGATCGTCATCTTCATCCCATGTCGTCGTGGTTTGAGTGGGTTGTAGGTAAGGCAAGTCCTGAATGATGATGAGAAAGCTAACACCATTTCGATTTCGTAGTGCAAGCCGATCTCTAAGTTCAAGGTCTCCATGCCAAACCATGCATTGAAGTGGTGATCTTTCAGGATAGCAATCTTGGCTGAGCCCAGCAAATCCAATGACTTGAGGTTTGCCAACTTGTAGTGGAGCAAACCGAGCGAAGTGTCGCATGGGTTCCAGGACCTGATGCGTAGCAAGAACAGAGAAGAGGTTTGCAACTCCGTCTTCAGGTGGATGTTGGACCACAATAACATGGACTCGTTGGTCACGCTCCAGTAGAGTCGATGGAGGCATCGGTCGCACTAAATGTATGTGGACATGCCAATGTGGATCCAAAAGGTCAAACCACGCTTCAGCAATGGAGCGAAACCACGTCTCAAAATGCTGATGCAATTGGACTGTTCGAGGTTCACTGCATTGTAAATGTGCAGGCATTGCAAGGAACCAAGTTTGGATGTGTAATGTCGGATTGGCTGGGCGATTGATTGCGTCGAATTGTGCCATGTGCGCTAACCAATGCATGTGAAGCTCTTGAATGGCTGCTGGCTGCATCTGGAGAGCTTGTAGCGGGTCAGTAATGAGTGCAACGCTATGCTGTTGTTCTCGTTGGTAAGGAAGCTCTTCTTCAATACGTTCGCTGGGAGCACTTACACATTGATCAAAGTGTGCCTCTGGACAGAGAAACTTGGGCTTTTGCTCAAGAGGTGGCGGCTCAGTTGCGAATAGCTGAAGAAAGAGTGCTCCATCACCATCTGCAAGTTCATGGAAGCCACGTTGACGAGGTACATGTGGTGGCCCTACCACATCGTTGTGCCAGCCCAGGCGATAAAGGGTGTGCCTCATTGAAATCTCTTCCATGGTCATCCCTTGGTGATACGCTGTAGCCAGGCATCGCGTGGCAATGTGGTCTGTCTGGGGACTACCTGGAGGAACTGCGATCCTGACGTAATCGCCGTCATTGATGTAGAGGCGAGGAGCTCCCAATGGAATCAGTTCGCCATTGACCCACACCAGGCATCTGTTGCTAGCTCTTTGGCATACAGGATGTAGTCCGAGAGCTCTCAAGATCTGACTCCGGCTAAGCTGGTCAGGAATGAGCCTCGCCTTTCGAACAACCTCAGGACTTTCCAGTGGAAGAGCAGAGTGAAATTCAACATCCAGTAGCGCAAATCGGTCATATGAGCCTGTTGGTAGATCACCACGTCGATGAGCAATGACAGATGCCGAATTGGTCCTTGCCGTGTCCTGCGGTGGTGTTTGAATCGTGCATGACATAGAGGTCGTCAAATCTCACATGAAGGGTTTGGGCTGCACGTTGATGCATGCCATAGTAGTCATTCCAGTCAAACCATGCTGGAGTAGGACCTCCTTCAATGGTGTAGATGAGCGTTAAATACCAATCTTCGGGCATCTGTGGTTCCTCAGATTCTGCTTCTGACGCTTCTGATGAGGATGCAGGTGATAGATCTTCCGCATCTCTGGCAATGTTTCGGTCGTTCATGATGGCATCTGGTGGTTGGTCTTGATGTTGCGTTTGCACAGGCGCTTCTCCTTGCGCAACTTGGGCAGAAAGGAAAGAAACTTCGTCCTCTTCCATAGTGCCGATTCGATCAGGTGGTAGTGGAGCTGCAGAGCGTAGTGCGCATGCTGTTTGGTGTGGGACACCGAGCATGTGCGGCCATTGTACCATCTCAATGTCAAACTCGTGCCCAATGTAGAGATCAACATGATTGGAAAATCGAACCCGTCCAGCAAAGTGCCGTTTGTGGCAAGGCAACGTCAAAGTAGATGGACTTGATTGCAGGGTCCCCACATCTTGCGCCAAGTCAATCGCTGCAATGCTCGCTTGCCATGGGTTCACGAAGAAATCCTCGGTGACAATGCTGTGGTTCCAGATATCAACCATCATATACTGGAAACACAGGGAGTCATTCTGCCTAGGGCAAGCCTCAGATAAGTCTACTTGCCCGGCTCGGGGAAAGGCGACAGTGCACGTGATCCAAGTGCAGAGGCATCCAATCGCTGTCTTTTGGATGTTCCCTCGCCTTTGGGATCTGCAGTGTCGTCGGCATTGGGTAGCTGAATCTGCTCCAAGCTTTCCACCACTGAGTGTATTCTCTTCTGGATCATCGCTGCTGTATCGATCTTCATGGTCTCGTCCTCGGCTTCTCCATCCGAAATAATCTCTGTCTCCTCGAGCACCTCTGCATCTTGCTTGGAGTGTTGCTCCTTTGTGGCATCGAGATGGCGCCTTGCTTCTTGAAGGGCCTCTCGGGCTTTGTTGAGCTCCTCCTCCATTGCAGTGTCTTTCTGGGTGAAGTCTTCTGCGAACGTACTCCACCTCTTGATACTCTCTTCCACATAGGCAGTCCAGGAATTGTGGAGCTTGAGGCGTGCTGCTTTTGCCGCTTTGAACTTTGCACGTGCAAGGTCCACCTTCTTGACTGCTTGATGCATGCTCTTGGAAGTAATCTTTGTACCTGTGGTCTCGGCGATGATCTGCTGAATCTCCTGTGGAGATAAGGGTTGATCGTTGTTTTGGAGTTTGTTGACCAGAGACTGCAGCTGTTGCGCTGTTTGAGGATCGGATCCAGATGACGCTGCCGTCGTTGTTGCGGCTGGGGCCTTGGCATTCCATGGTGGGTCGTATGCCGGCACCATAGAAGCATTCTTCCCTTTCCCTTTCCCTTGACTTCGTCGGGGTGTGGGCGTCCTTCTGGTCCTTCTCGGCGATTTGGGTTTCTGCTGTGTAGATCCCCATCGCGATTCTTCTGGTGGCCATCCTGCATAATTCCAGGTGTCCGCATTGGTCTCGGTCTTCTTGACTCCATGCACATAGAACTCGTCGATGCATCGATGCCATTGTGTGTCGCATCGTCCGCAACGAAGAGCACTCATCTTGTTTAGGCGTAAGCAAAACTTGCAACGCCAGGGTGTCTTGGTTTGCTCCGTCATCTTGCGCTGAATGAGGGCAATAAAGGCAGGGTCCTTGGAGTGATGTGAGCTCAGAGTCTTGGCAATAGTGCGCAATTGAGGCTGATCTGGTCTGCAAAGTCCTCTGCGAATGCAATGCCACCAAAATCGGGCAGATGCCCTGTGTCGCCTGAAGCGCCTCCTTTGGGTCGGAGTAATATTGATCAAGATTCAATGAGTGCACAAACAAGACAAGGAGGAAGATGTAGAGCTGGATGCCCATGAAAATGTCGAGGAAGCCCAAATAGGATCGCCGGGACAAAGTCAACCGCGATCAGGATGTTGGGGACCAGGTCAAAGGCAGTGCAACCAGTGCAACCCAGGTGGTTTAGTGTGGCTGGGACCACAAGGTGAATACCGGAGTGCAAGTCCGGCAGAGCACTTGCTGATTCGAGCTCGTCCAGGGCGAATCCAGGTCAGACGGCTCAGAAACCAAATTGCCCGGGGGTGGCAATCACGACAAACCCCCTAAGGTTCAAGACTTAGTCGTGGGGCGCTTAAGCCAGAACCTTTCTCTCTTTATATATATATATATATATATATAATAGATATACATATACATAATTATATGTATATTATATTATATACGATATTGTACATGTGATATTACATGCATACAATATTATATGTATACATAGTTACATATTAGTTATTTGTAGTATTGTACTACACTGTACTATATGTTATTTTATTTTAGATACAGTCGGTATGTATATTGATCAATGTCTAAACTGAAAACACTTCTGTGAACCTGGGGATCCCAACCACCACACCAGGCTGCCTGGGGCCATGTCGCGGCTTTGGATCAGCACCCATTGCATCACTGACCTGGCAGCATCTGCCAGCGAAGCGCAGCTGCTCAGAGACTCAGAGCGGCTCAATCTGTGGGCCGACATCATCTCTTTTGGCGGTAGCAACGGTCCAGCCTCACACTGCAAAACGTCATCTTTCGTCTGAGGGCATCTTGCTCACAATGAAACAGCTGTTGAATTTGAAAGAAAACATGTGTACAGATGTGTACAGTAAGTCCGTGTAGCACCAACCGGTACACCAATATTGTGTTTTTCTCCAAGCGAGACTGGATCCAGGATCCTGACCTGTCCTGCAACACGGCTGTCCTGGTGCCAGGACGATGCCCCGCAACACAACGCAATGCCATTGTAATATTCCTCAAATGCCCATTGAAAATGAAGATCTAATCCGATACTGTAATATACTGTAATCCATTAAATATAATATGAAATCCATTAAATATATGAAATTAAACATGAAATACTGCAATCCGTTAAAAGCCGTGGCCTTTTACATGTGCTTTTTCGTACACAAGGATGTACACAAAAGGATGTTCGAGGTGACCTTCTCAGGAATCAATGAGATATGGCTATGGATCAATACCTATACATACCATTTTTAGGGGGATGAACATCCATGAAAACCAGCTATTTTGATGTGAACTACAGGGGGATAGGGTTTTGACCCATCCCCATATCAAGAAATCATAAGAAATCCCTAAAATCAGCTTTGAATCTCATACTTTACTAAAATCCTTTCTACATCGACGTTGGACTCCCAACGTCCTCGCCCAGCAGCGGCTTTCGGCCCAACTTCAGGAGCTCTTCCAGAGGTGCCTCGGAGCATGACCCGGTCTCTTGCATAGTTATCATAGGTATTCATAGGTTATATATGCATACATTATATATCATTATATTATATCATTATATTATATATATATATATTATAGTTATAGTCATCCCCAAAAAACGGACTAAGGCACGAAAACGCTATAGCTGGGTGTGGGGCTCTCATGACGGAGGGCTCAAGTTGAGCCTTAGCTGTGCCGAGATGAAGCTGCCGAGTGGCTGTCACTTCCTGTTGGTTAACTTTGATTAAGAGCCTAAGAGCTTAAGAGATCTTAAGAGCTTAATTTTGATCCAGATCTCTGGAACCCAACCTCTGAGACCTCTTGACCTTCACCATCTTTTACCATCGTTTACCTACAGAACCCGACAAGAACCCCAAGTCAAATCACAAATGGCATAAATGTTGAGCTTCACTTCCGAGGCCACCGCCCGAATACGCATCCTGACGTCCATACATCTCTCAGGAACATCCTTGGAACTCATGAAGCGAGATACAAGCATTGGAGAAGGGAGTAGCGACATAGCCGTGGGTATCGGAACAGTTACTCTGCTATCACTCCGTATATAGAATCATCTATGATGGGCAAAAGTATTCAACATGTGGTAATGAATTGCGGGGTAACATTGAAAGGCAAGCCTTCAAGGGAACTCCGGAGAGCATGATCAAAGCTTCCTAAAAGATCCCAAACGCTTCTGCCCCGCAGCGCTGTGAACCTTTTACTGGGGCTTGCTGACATCACCCACTCGCACCAGAATCTTCAGCTCCTGTTCACACCTAGCACATGGATCTTGAATGTCGGAGTGAAAGTCGGATTTCATCAATGCAATGGGACCATATGGGACCCGTTTCAGTCGTGAAGTTCACCAAATGTTCACCAATTTCCACACCAAAAAATAAAGGCTTCAAGACATTTCAAGTCAAGCACTGCCACCTGACCAGGACAGGGCCAGTGACGCACAGGTTGATGCCTCAAATCCAGAGTCATCACATATCTCCACATCTGGCAGTACATCAAACTAGCAAGCAGATCTCAGCAGATCAAAGCAGACCATTCAAATCACTGCAGGTCCTACAGTATCCATCAAAGACCCTCCTTCAATTTGTTCAGAAAACGACTGAGATAACTGAGATGTCAGCTGAGTTCCATGGGCCGGGAGGTGCGGACCACACCTCGTGGAGGGCCTCAAGGGTCGGATATTGGATACCAAATGGCTGGACGTGAATTTCACGAATTTCGCGATGTGATTCAATGTCGATTCCCTGTGTTTCGTGTGATGTGTGACCGCATTTCTGCCAATTGGAGCCTCAGCTGGTGCGCAACCGCTTCTGGGATGCGAATCACATGAGATGAATGAGATGACTGCAGGTACACGGCGCTGCAGCCAAGTTCAAATACCTGGATTTCTAGATTAAACATCGGGTCACATTGTCCTTCAGCTCTTGCGTCCTGGCTCCAGGCTTCTCCTCTTGCACTGAAGGGGAGATCAGGAGCGTTTCAAGCCTATCTAACTTACAAAGGTAATCAAAAATCAAAGGTATCCCAAACCTATGCTCGGAAACCCAAAAAGATGGGGATCAGCCAAAACCTGATTGTGCATGACAAAGGCTCATTTTGGAAGGAAGGAGACACACTTGTGGATTCCCTTGTGGATTGACATACTCAATCTACATGGTGGCAAATGGCAAATGACTGCGACAACGCCACTTGCATTAGGTCTGACCATGCCAGCAACGTTGATTGAGAGGTGAAGGACGCGCAACCTGCTCTTATACTGATTGTGTGCAGCAAGTCTGTGAAATTTGCTGCACGATGGGAGGCAAACCCTGTCTGCAATTCTTTGACTGGGAATGGACTCGGTCTAGAACAGACCGACTGATTTCTCTTCCAAGATTCTGTGGCTTCGAAATCAGCAAGTGCATGTGAATAAGATGAATAAGGATGTCCTTGCCTGATTAATAGCACTCAACCCACAGAACTTGCAAAAGATGACTGACATGTATCAATTCATGTTCGACAATGTCGTTGGCTCGACGATGTCATTGAATTTTCTGTTCTGAAAACCTCCCTTACTTTGGCCCCTTCACTGCCGGCTCAAGGCGTCCTTAGATTCCACAGCCCCTGCAATGATGCAGTCGAAGCAGGTGTTGTCTAGATGTGACTGCAAGGCAATTGCCAACTAGCGTATCTCATCGCTTGCATAACTTACATGTAATTCACATGCATCAAATGGATTCAAACTCGATCGATATATCGATCTTTCAACATCTTTGAACGTGTGTCAACCCACTTGAAGCCACATGTGCATCGTTCGCCCAGCCACGCAAAGGCCATCCAACAGCACAGCCGCTTGCTTCAAGGCCTCATCTGGATGACGTACCAACTGCCGCAAAGCAGCTTGGACCTGAGTAGCTTATGTAGCTTGCAGCTCCATGTTCGGACCTAACATGACCTAACTATCTGGTTCTTGTATTTCTTAAGTTCAACTCAGGCCTTGCCACGGACAGAATTCTGGTGCTATGGACTGGCGTCTTTGCTCAAACTGTTTTTCTTTTGACCTTGTTCGTTTGGAATTTGTTCTTTGATGGGCATATCTATCATATCTATCCCTTTTCCTGGACTTGGATGAAGTATTCCGACACGCATGAATCGATCCCGAACAGACTCTTGGCAGCTGGAAATATGGTCTGGTAGCTAATCCAAAATGGCAAGGAACTCTTCCTCCAACAAAAATGTGGACAGTGAGATACAGCGAGGGAAATTGTAAATTGGCGGCTAGACCTTGCCATTCGGCAGTTCCCGTCCACAGTTGCCCTAGTCAAGCAGTGGGCTTAAAATTGCACAAAGAAACTCAGCAGTACGGCTGAAGAGCTGCCGTTGAGTGCCAAGATGCCCCTTGACATCCCTGCGCGACAATGCCGCCATCCAGAAGAATGCCATTTGCTTCACTCAGTACCGAACTCCTGAGTCCCCAAAGTATCCCGAAGTGATGAAGCCGCACCACTTACTGTGTCTTGAAACATCTTGAAACTGTCTGTTGGATGAACCTGCGGCTGTCTTTCTCGCTGCTGTTGGCTCAGGACCGCACCTGGAACTCCCAAGTTCGAAAAGAGCCTTCATGCCGGCCGCGCACAAAGTTGGATGACCTCATCATGAAGCGTACAGCCAGTCCACAGCCCGTGCAGCAGTGCAGCATCAAAACAGGAGTTGTAGAGACCACATGCATCTTTATCGAGCTTCAGCTTCACCTTTGATCACCCCAATGTGGAACATCGCCTCCCTGAACTTGAAACCCTGACATGCCTGACATATCCGACCAAGTTGAAACACGCAACTCTGATGTTGATGAATCCTGGCTGGATGACGTGCCCCATAATCTTCATCCCAATGAACTGGCCTTGCAAGTCAGCACTCTCTTTGAGAAAGTTCAGCATGCGCCCAGCTCCATTCAACAGCACGATGCATGCTAAGGTATTCTCGAAGAGCTCGGCAAATCTGCGAGGAAGATTCCGTGGTTAGATTAGGCGAGTGGAAACTCATATTCTAGCAAGGAGCCCCCCCAAAAGGAGCCCCCCCAGGAATTTGCCATTAAATGCCTCTTATTTGTAAAAATGTCATTTAAGGGATTTTAAGGGACATTTAAAGGAAATTAAGGGAAAATAAGGTTAAAAAGAACAAACCTTTGTAGCAACACCATAAGATAACTTGAGACTCTCAGATTGCCTTGCTTGTGTTCCGACCCTATCATCAACCTTGAATTCCCAATCAAGGAAAGTCAAAATGTAGATCTGGTGTAGATTGCAGCTGCACACCTGGTAATGAATTGCCTGTCATTCCAAACAAGCTTTGTCCTTCAGCCATGAAAGCTAGCCCATTCATACATAGAGAATCATACAGATAGATAGATGTGTATATATGTAATGTGTATATGTATATATATATAATTATATATATATATATTACTCCGCCGCCCTGCTGCATTACCCTCCTGCAAGCATCAACGAATCCACAGAAGTGCTTGGTGCTGCTTTCCAGTTGCCTGTGAGTGCCCTCCTGACAGGTTTCCCACATGTACCGGTTCAAGTGTTCATGAATTCATTCCTTCAAGAGGAGAAGCATTCCAAACGCATCATCACATTCACTGGCAACTTGTTTACGACAAACAGCAAAGCAAGGCTGACCTGTTGCAAATGCTGCGCAAGCTGCTTTTGCCTTGGTGCAAGACTAGAACCGCCAAATTCACCGTTCGGAGCTCCCTTGTCGCTTCCCTCGAGTTTCCAAGAGTTTCTAGATTGCTATAGGACCTTGCAATCATATTGACTTGCCAAGCGGCGCCCACTCGGCTTGGGGGTCTTGACCGTGACGGGGTTCCAGCAGACTGCGGAGTAAAAAGCCTGAGATGAACAGCTCAGCGGATTCAGTAGATCTAAACTAAACTGATGGCAGCCGATGGCAGCTGATGGTAGCTCAAGTCCTAGTTGGTTCATGAAATCCGGCAACTGCTTCAAAAGATGTGCATAATATCTTCCAGAGTCTTCCAGCGTTGGTGAAGGAGACAAAATTGTCAAGATTATTTTCAACACCGAGCGCCCCGCTGACGTCACGCACTGCACTTTGGTGCTCATAGTGACCTCGCTGCTTTTCTAAGCAGAAATCAGAGCCGTGGCAGCACGATCTACATGGAATCTACACAGATAAGCAGCCGTTCTTCAACAGTGTGGCGGCCAAGCAACTGTCGTAGGCTTTCAGGACTGTCTTCATGATGATAGTCAAACAGGCCTGCAAGGAATTTTAGTCTTGTGCACAAAGAGAAAATGGAAAATGCATTGGATTACCATAGCTCGGGGTATGATGAAACCGAGTCGGTCGGTCTATAGAGTCTACACATGTTGCATGTCTGAAGGTATTGTACAACTATCTTGAAGTATCTTAGGCATGGCATGCACTTAGGTATCATGTACGACCAAGGAAGCCTTTGAGTTGGGCCCTGGGTGCACCTGATTCAAGTCTCCCACGTGCTGTACCATTCTCATGAGAAGAGCCTCGGCGAATTGATGTGGACCATTCCTTTGGACAAGGACGCATTCGATGTTAACTTCATTTGGAGAATCCAATATGTATATAGTTATGTGCATAATATATATATATATATTATTATATTTTAATATATATATATATTTACATACATACATACAGCGTATACCATAAACCTGAGATTCGCTCCAGGCAGTGGCACCCACGACTCTGCAAAAGGGCATCCTGCAAGCTGCTGACATTGAGACAGCCATCTCTGCCCCTCCAAAGAATGGGAATATGATGGAATAATAAATTAATATGTAATATGTGTTTTGAAAAACACTTAAAAACTTTATGTATTCAATTCAACCATGCCATCTTGGACCAGCAGAATGCCCCTGAAGAGACTGTCTGGCAGATTTATGTTCAGCATAGCTAGAAAAAAAAGGCATCTGGCCGATGATTGCAGTAAAGTATGTTGGCACTGTTCACAATAGATTTGCTATGACTTGGTTGATGGTTTACTCTTGTTGATAAAATTACAGCTTTTCTGACAAACCCTCTCCTGTGGATGGGCCAGCATTGCTTGGGCCATCAGTTCCAACATTCCTGTGCACAGATGGACTCAATATGACGATGTATGAATAAGTAAGGATATTCTACATACGTCTACATACAACATCTGTGAACTCATATACCTTGTCAGTTGCCTTGTGAAAGCTGTATAAAAATGGGCTATTTATTTCAGGGTCGGGAACAAATTTGACAAGAAAAAACGTCCGTTTTCGCTGCAAAATCTTCGGGGTCCACTCACTTCTGGCCTGGAACTTCTTGCTGAGAAACCATGAGGGTCCTACCACTCAACAGCCAATCACATTCCTTGGGCGCGGTTCTGATTCTGTATCTCCTGTAAGTCCAGAAATAAGCCACAGAAGTCTATGATGAAGTGTCTTGCAAATGCAAAGCAAGAGGTCTGCAATGGATCGCACCAGGGATCACGTAAGTCTATGAAATAGATTGAAATAGCGTTGGGTACTTGCACTCACGTTCAACTCTCACTGTGCACATCTTACAAAGCCAGTAAAAGACAATGTTTCTCTAACCATGATAAAAGATGATCAAAGATCGAATTTGTCGCCAAGTCCAAGCCCCAACATGCCCCAACTTCAGCCAAGGTGCCAAGTCATCATCCAGGATGTCAATAATGGCGCACATGCAGGCATCAACCACTGCATCCCTCTGCAAATGTCGTTGAAGCTCCTGGCGAAGCTCCCCTACTAATGGATACACCAAAGAGGATTGGACCGGGTTGGATGACTTTTTTATGGACACATCCGCTCACCAATGCAGAATGTGTCTAGGCAAGACAGTCGTTGTCAAAAATAGACCCACTTCGTCCTTTGTTGTTTAGTTTAGAACTAACGTCCGTGAAGCCATCAGGCAACAAATGGCAACAAACCACCCATGTGCAGCCATGTTGAAATATGTTGAAGCTTGTTGAGTGTTCAAAATGTTCAAATGTCGGGCTCTCCCCAGTAGATCCATGTAGATCCCACATTCAGCGTGCCTGCACTACGAAGGGCATCCCAGCCAGCGCGGCCAGGAACCACACGCAGTACTTCTCCAGTCGCCGATCGCCCACCAGCTCGCTGATGCGTTGCTGGGCAGGGAAGGGTCGATGCCGTAAAGAAACAAAAACCAAAAGCTGCACAGTTTCTTACCATTTCTTACCCATCTATCCCATCTTTGTGTAGAAATCGCTGTTTTAAGATGGTCACTGTTGGAGTTTCGGCAGACTTCACCATTTGGAGCGTTTCAGCTGAGGCACCGAGGCTGCTTCTTTGGCCCCATGCTTCAGCAGCACATCTCTCCAGGCATCTTTGGCCAAGGTCACCTTGCCTCACGCACCAACTTTCGTTAGTAGATAAAAGGAACAGTTGTTCCCATCAAGGCTGCTTCAGAGTTCAACCAGACCCTTCAAAGGATATCTTCACACCCAGGCTGATTTATCAATGGTTCTTTCACCGCCATTGAATGGAAGCAGAATCAAGTTCGGAAACTATGCAGCCCAGCCTAGTGGGTCGAAGATGGCTTCAACTTCGTCTCTGCAGAAGTAGCCCCACCCCTGGTGGCAATGTGGTGCCAAAGCATGTTTTGGAATCAGGAAGCCCTGCTTTAAATTTGAACGTGGTTGGCGCTACTAGCTATCCACAATAACTGGAGTCTCTCATGGAAGATGTGCTCAGCACAAAGGTTGACTGCCTCTGTGGTCGTTGTGATCGTTTACCCATAGAAATTCAGAGAATGACCGAACTGTGACCCCTGGCCTCCTCTGGAATTTGCACAGGTTCATACAACCGAGAAACCTAAGCCCAAGCATCGAGCCATCCCAGGATGCTTTTTGAATCTTTCTAATATCTTGTGCAGCAAAAGATTCAATGCATTCATCCCCTCATATGGATTAATCGGGATGGACAAAGGAATATAAACAAGGGTTGCTCCATGTTCTGTTGAATAAGGCGGCCGTCAATATCTGAAGCAAGAGGTTTTACAGTCCTACCCCTCCATATTTTCAACAGCAAATGAATCGTTGCGCGAACGCATAGTTTATCTCTCAATAGATTCAATAGATTGTCTCAAGATTTGAGTTCTTGAAACAAATATGTAAATATTAAATATGTAAACAGGCCACCAAACAAAAACCAGACCGGGCAACGCGAACTCTCACTGTGACTCACAGAAGCTTACGCCGTGTAATCGTGCAACACCTCCAAATCTTTCAGGCACCAAGGTGCCAACATTTTGATGGTCTCATCCAGCGGAGCACAATCTCCAGGATTGCAGTGGGGCGCTAAACTGGAACAACAAGCGCCAAGAGCTTGCAGCAGAGCAGAAAGAAAAATCGCGTTGCGGGGCGACTTCCTCACGGAAAAAGCAACGGAGATTGACCAGGTGCTACTGTATGGGATGAAATAAAAAGATAGTACCACCATGTACCGCCATTGGTCATTGCTTCCATTTTGGCCCAGCAATGCACATTCTCGAAGTCTGCTAAGGATCTTCTGCAGCTGCAGGAGCTCTCCCATGATTGCTGGCAACTGCCTGATGGCTTCTAAGTCCTCCAAGCCAAGGTGTTTGAAGCTTAAAAATCTCAAAATCAAATGCACCCTGAATTTGGATCAACTAGGTCACAGGGCAAACCTGTTCGTATCCAGCTAGTTGTTACTACTAGTAGTTGTTTGCCTTGTTGCTGCAAATGGTCATGTTGGAATGCAGTAATTCCACGTTGTGCTCTAAAGCTGCACATTATACACTAGATTCAACGACCTCCATTTATCTCGTCATCTCTCTGTGGGGGTGAGGTACTCTTCATGCTGAGCTGCCTGTTGTTCCCATCGGAAAATCAATGTGTGAGTCAGTCATCGGTCCTCCGTAGTGCAGAGCTCTTTGATGGTCAGCAACCTGATCGAATCTTTAAGTCTCTGCAGGGATCAACAACCACCAGAGTCCACATGAGTCCACTAGAGGACTGGAGTTTCAGATGGTCTGATCACAGCTTACGACTTGCTGAGCTGTGATTGGTGGATACAGCATGATACAAGTGCAAAAGATCCTATTTTGCACCTGCGAGCAGGCAATAAAATCAATGAATGTTTATGCTGCTATGCTCTGCCGGGACTGGTTCCGTATGCCACAGCTTGCAGTCACGTCACACTCCACGGACTCCACGCTGTCCAACGCGATCGAAGAGCTGAAGGGCCTGCTTTTGCGCCGCTTTTTTTATCCCGCTTTTTTGCGGGTCAGGATGGCTACGCCATAGCACCCTGCCTCTGGAAGGCCCAGGATAAAACCCAGACTTTGCCCCACGTCCTCTTCGAGTTGCCCGCCTCACAGATTCTCAGGTTGTCCAGAGAAGAATGAAGGATGTTGGGATGTTGGATGTTCAAGCTATGACTAGCCACCTTTTTTCCATGTCAAATAGACTGTTTTGATTGCCAGTCCGTGCTCGAGAGAGGTAGTCTTTCATATATTACCCTCAGTGTCGTATTTCACCGGCCTGAACCCATCTGCGCAGCCGCTTGCAGCGAAGAGAGGAGATCGCCGCTTCTCAGCAAATGCTCACAATCGACTCGGCCGACCTTAGCTTTGCTTCTCCGTGCAGATGTGAAGTTTCACAGTCATCCGAGTCATCCAGCGTGTTCAGGAACGGGCAGAAGATGAGAGTTGAAAATGTGTGCTTTTTTTGTGCGGCAGCTAAGTAAGCAAAACAAAGAAAGGACAAACTTAGATAAACTGATTGCAACTGAGATAAAACACATAGATAATCAGATAAGAGCTGATTGTCTATGGCATTGCTTTGGCCGTGCACCAACTGTGCCCGCCTTCGTCAACGCCGACAAGATCTTGCAGCAACTCTCAGCGGTCGAAGTGTCCTGGCCGATCACCCGAAACGATGCGAGCAATGCTGAAAGTGCCCAAGTAATTGTACGGGCAGGACTGAGGGTTGTCCCGGAATGGTCGTATGAACGTCAGTGGGAGGCTCATTTCTCTGCGCAGGTGCAGTGTTTTATGACTCTGGTACATCTGTGAGTTAGCGTGGTCTAAGACGAATTTTTGGAAAAATCAGTCAGAAAAGTGAACCCTCTGCGGACTTCAGGCGTTTCGGCCATTTCCACTTTTTCAATCTTTTCGACTTTTTTGGCGAGTCCGGATTTTATAACTTATGTAAACCCTAAATGAAACACCTAATAGAAGTATGCGTATATGTTCCATGGGGCCCGGGGGATTTTATAACTTATGTTATACCCTAGATGAAACCCCTAATAGGAGGTATGCGTATATGTTCCATGGGGCCGGGAGATTATGACAAGGACATGTTATGACAAGGAAATCCCCTAGCACTGGAATGATGGAACCAATGGGTTGCTAGCTCCGCTCTCGGGTATGGCCCTCCGAGCCATACCCTCGTAGGACGAGGGGTTGTCCCTTCGGGACAACCCCTCGTCCTGTGGGTAATTGTACTTGGAAATACTTGGAAATACTTGGAAAGTCTAGAAGTCTGCAACATCAAGTCATCATGATTTTGCTCTCAAAACACAGTGGTTCTTTTTCATCCATGGCAGTGGCATGCAGTGGCCATGGGAAGCGTCCTGACAGCGTACCGCCATCTGCAACGTTACAGACATGAGCTGTGCACCGCCCATTTTCAGAAGCTCGTGGCCCAGCAAAGGCTCCACTGCCATCTCCTGGGAGATTACCACGGAAATGAGGGTAGAGGCTGTAATTATAAATATTACACAATATGTATTATATCTATATTGTATTATATTATCATATTAGATCATATATATATATACATAGTATATATAATTATTATATAATCATATTATGTCATTTGCTATGCACATATATACAATATGCAAGTTAAACTAGTTGCAGCTGATTGCAGCTGCCTGCTCCAAAGGCTGGAGACTTGGAGCCCTTTCAAAAGATTGCAACTTTCGCCAGAATCACCGTCCCTCTAAGCGATCAACGAAACCGCATCCCAATCGATGCAATCCTCACGTGTGAAAATGTGGTGATGTCCGACATCAATACTAGAAACACTTTGCTTCATTTGTCTATCATCTTCAAATATCTTCAAATCAAGTACCATTTTTGTTGTACCCGGAAAGTAACATGTCATGGAAAAATCCACCAACACTATAGTTTAGCCCAAGATAAACCGTGGTTTTCCATGGGTTTTCCTAAGGATCACTGATTTTCCCATGGTTTTCCCATGGTTTTCCCATGGTTTTCCCATGGTTTTCCCGCCTGGAGCACCGTAGTGGCATCCTGCAAGAGCTCCGGGATGCTGAGCTGCGCCAGGCGCTGGGCCACGCTGCGCAGCAGCTGCGGGGCCTTTTTAGTTGGGGCTGTGGCAGGAGGTCACCCCGGTGAAATGGCCATTGTTTATTGGAAAACATGGGAAAACATAGAGAAATATAGGAGAATATGGTGAGACAATGGGAACATATGGTGAAATATGGTGAAAATATGGGGAACATGATGATAAAACCATGAGGATTCTGGGGTAGCCTATTTTCAGACAAAGCCAGAAATCGCCATGAAACTGCAAATTGACATTGTCTTGAACCGAAAGGGAGATGAACATGCGTATATTGCCATATATGAAGAGAGTATGAATGAGTGGTAGATGTGGTAAACCAAGAGTTGAATCATGTTGAATCACTCCGCAAGGCACCAACCACCCCCGCCACTCCTCATCCAAAGGCCCTGCGCTGTTCCTCCAGCACCCTGAGTCCTGAAGGCATCAGGATCAGTTGACAAAGATGAGGAGTGCTACACAAGAAAACGCAGCTGTACATTACCATTCACCATACCACTACTATACTAGTTACATCTAGTTGCTATACATTGTTAATCATTGTTACTATACATCACATCACTTCCAGATTCAAGATGCTCAATTCTTGCACAGCCAGAAGTGCTCTCTGGGTCCTTGCGCAGAACCTGCAAAACTGCCACGACAACCTCCGGTCTGCATGGCTCTGTACCTATCGCCAGAAATCGGGTAAACTGCGGTCCAAGTGGTGCTGCACCACGTTTGAACGAAAGGTTCACAATCTCCAGCGACTCCAGCAGACCGATTTAAAATCGTCATACCCTGGAGAGCCGCTCTCAGCCAAATCAGCCAAGGGTCTGAGAAGCTGCAGCAAACCTGAAGCTCCTCCAATCATGCCTCAGGGCAAATCAGGACCTTTTTTGGCGTTTGGGCCTTATGACTTATGATGTTTTTCTTGGCCTTGAGATGCCTTGAGGAATGTTCTTGGCAGTGTGGCACAAACATGGAATCAACAGAGTAGAGTTGCTCAGTGACACATCGAAAATTGATTAAAATTGACTGGTTGGGAAGTGGATTGGTGGACAATGCTACTAGTATTGAGGTCAAAACTATATACATGCCAGACTTGCCGAAGATCTGACCCACAAGGACAAATTTCTACGTCATGCAAATGCACAATGTACTCACAAGAACTGCTGGCACCTAACACAAACAGGAGTGAGGAAGCCACACAGTGATATACAGCTCAAGGAGCATAGGCAGCCAGGAAATGCCAGAAGCGATTCAAGCCAATCCAGCAATTCAACACAGGCAAGAATACTAAAAACGACAGAACTTGGCGATCACGAAGCTGAAAGAGGTTCTGCTACAACACATACAAAAGGGACATTCAAAAGTGTCTTTTGCTTTTCTGAATATGATGGTACAATATGGTACAGGTATACGATGGTCATCCGATGGTGGGGATGATAGGTCTTATTCGTTGCACCCATCTCTCGATGGCCCCCATCAGCCACGCTGCGGACCAACCAGGTGCAGCAGTTCACATGCTCCGTATGCGATGCATATACCTCAGCAACCGGCGCCACCAACTGCCGCCACTATGGCCACTGTAGGGGGGAAATCTGATAACCAGATCAGAAAGTACCACCAACCACTATAATCAGTCATGCTCCGCATAAAAAAGGCTTTGACATCATCGCAGTGGTGCTCACTGCATGATGTCACCCGCAATAATTCAATAATGGTTAAAAGTTAAAAAGGATTCCGCCCGCATTCCCAGTTGGTATAGTTGGTAAATGTTGGTAATGAACCTGTTTGCCTTAAATTTACGAAGTTAAACGAGCAAGCGGCGACCACTGACTCCTGGAGTGCCTGTAGCCCTCCAACTTCGCGGATCCATCCAGCAACCAAGGGATTCTTGTGCGCCTGGAAGCATTGCGCCACCACATCCATACCATCCATGATTTCTATATGATCTTGTTCTATGTGCGTTTGCAAAGTCTCGACCGCTAAAAAAACATATCAATCAATAGTGTAAATAATTGTAAATCGGTGACTATCACTCGAGATTCCGCTCTCGACTTCACAAATGGCCACATCCCTACACTGACATTCCCACAATGGCAATGACAACAGCAGCCCCGCGCAGCCCCGCGCAGCCCCGTGCACCATCTCATTCAGCGCCCAGGCCGCATCCAGCGCCAGCTCGGGGCTCTGCTTGCTGACCAGCGCCTGTATCAACAGCTTCACGCAGCCCATGACCTGCTCCTGACAAAGCCGCACGGCGTTGCCCACCAACTCAGCCGTGGCCTGGCGGAACTTCGGAGTGATGTGTTCAGTGCATTTCAGTGCTACATAGTGACATAGTGCTGCCAAATCCACCAAGCAAACCAATGTAAATGTCAGCATCTGAAAATTGAGACAAGTGTTCCTCGTGCAAGCTCAGAAATCCGGAGCATGGAGCATTCTGCTATGGCACTGGTTGGGAACCCTATTCCCATGTTGCACCATTGTTGCACCATTGCACCCTGAGCAGAGGCTGACCTGTTGCAGATTCCCATTGTTCATCTGTGGCACCAGCTTCACCAACATCAAGAGCGCTGAGGGGCCTGGCTCCAGTAAAAACTTCATGATGAAATGACATGAAATGACTGTACCACTGCATTGGGACATGAGTTTTTAATCATTGGTGTGAAAGAATTTGAAGGCTGATTATCTGATTCAAGAACTCTGAACCACAACTTTTTCTTGAGTATTCCCAAAATGACCGGGCGCGCCCCACTCGGCCTCCATCCACGGCTGTCTCGGCCCAGCCTGGCGGATAGCAAAACCACATTGGCCACTGGGGTGCCAGTATACCAAAAAAAAAAAAACTGTCACTGACCACTGATCCCCCCCCAAAAAAACGAAGAAACCAGATGAATGAGAAGAAACGATAAGAAACGAGGGGAGTTCAAACTTCCCGGGTGAGGCACAGAGCAGCAAGCAGAAATACATAGAAATACTGTAGCTATCTGTAGCTAGTTGCCAAGATAACTGGACCACCTGCAGGCACTGTACCTTGCAACACAACACCAAGGTACAGGACCCACTTAACGGGGGGAGAAGGTTCTGAGTCTGTGAGTTCAATGACGTGCAAACCACTGAGTCTGTGGTACAATTTGCAGGCACATCTATCATGTCCTTTGCACAAAACATGCTCCCCCAAGCGCTGCAGCCCCGCAAACCCGAGTGCCTTGCGTCATCAGTACCGCTCTGTAGTCGTATTCATGGCAAGAGCACAGATTTCTTGCAAACAATAGCTTTAAGAATCCTTGTGTTTGAATGTGCTAGAATGTGCTAGACACAAATCCTGTTCCATGAAATGATTTCATAGAGTGCATGTTTTTCGGCCATGTTCAGTTCATAGATGTTTTGGAGCTGGCGACCATGTGCAAGAGTGAGGGGTCCTTTGCGATCTTCCTACTATGAGCATCATTGAGCGTGGAAAGGTGCAATGGAGAGGATGTTTGGTGTGTCACTTTTGGCTGTATTTGAGACCTGCCTGGGTGCATGGACAGGCTCTGAACTATATTGCATTGCACCTTTGGGTTGGCTGGCCCTGCCTCTCTAACATACATAATATGTATGTATATATATATATATATTATATTATGTGTTTCTCCTTGAGCAATGCAGCAGTCATTGACAAAATGAGCAATGCAGCAACAACAATACCACCATCATGCCTTTTGATCCCCATCCAACACACCAGCTCAGCTCCCTGACTCACGCGCAGCCATCGGGCTAGTGATGGCAAGCCATCCTGATTGGTGTCGGCAGGGCTCCCAGGCTCGGCTTGATCAAGGTGATATCAAGCGGCAAAGACGGATTTTGAGCAGGAAAGCAAGAATGCAATTAATGCAATACTTGTATTGAGATAACGTCTGAAAAGGCTAATACATGTAGAATATGTAGAAAACAAGGATGTTCAAGGTGTACCCTTCGACTTCGATTGTAGCACATCAAAAAGGAGGCTACGTCCTGCCTGTAGCAGGCTTTTCTTAGGAATTGAATGTGGAAAGGAGCGGGTAGAAAAAACGCACTGCCAAAAGTTGTGGCATGCCTCAGGATCATTGGGTCTGAAACACGACGTTGACGTACTTTGACTCCAACCCCTCCACCCCTCCACAAAATGATTCCCAAATTGCCACGGTGCCACGGTGCCACCTCCTCATCATCATCAGCTTCAGCCTGAGATTGGTACAGGCCTGACATCTCGGGACGCCATCTGGGTTGGTCGATATTGGTCGATGGGATCGTCAGGGATCGTCAGGGATCGTCAGGGATGTTGTTTGAAAATCTACGTGATCGTCTCGTTTTTTTGGCGCATCTTTTTATCGCTTCCCATCAACTTGTTGCTCTGCAAACATCATCCCAGTACTGACTTTAAGATCTTCCACGAGTTGTTGAAATTCCAAATTTGGGTTCAAAGGCAGTCTAAGATTTGGGATAATTTGGGATATTTCATAGTACTTATTTTCAAGTTTAAGGTTGGCAAAAGAAGCTGAAACTTCCGTCGACCGCACCATGGCACACTTTGGCCCTGGTGGCAGCGGAGCTCAGCTGCAGATCCTGTTCCTCTTTCGATAGTAATCAATGGGAAATCAAGAAAAAAAATACCCAGTTAATCCCCAAATCTACCCAGTTGATTGATCCTCCATATAGTTTGGCGGTATCATAAATCGAGACATCAATCACCTCCCCCGGCAAAAGAAAGAGTAATATTGTTGGGATTACCATGGTTTACGACATCATTTGATGATAGGTGCCGAATACATCCCCATTGTATTTCTTCCCAAGCATCAAGGGAGAACAAAACATGGTTGTGGGACATTATGGGAGATTGGTGCCCAAACATGATCTGCACGTGTAAGGGCAATTGTTCAACAGTAAAATCAGTAAACAAGGAGTTCAACTGCCCAGCAGCTTTTCAAGCTCCAACTGCAACTTGGCACCATTGAGAGCTGGGTGTACCAGTTCCATGCCTGAAGCGTTATTGACAAGATGGTGGCCTGGCATTGCTTCCAAGAAATCTCCACTGGGTTTGAGCTTGGACAGTGTCCATTGATGTCCATTGTGTCTAGATCTGTCGCAAAACATCGATTCAATGAAACCCTGTGAGACCTCTAGGTGCCACCATGTTATTGGCTTGCTCGTGTGCAACTGAGGCACTCGAGTTACAATAGTTGGAATCTGTTGAGTTTCTGGCAACGTCAACAGTCATTGGCACAATGATTGCCGCAGTTTACGCAGCTCTCATTCTGTGCAGAGAAAGCAATGAAATTGTCTACCTTGTTTCACGTCCACACAGATATGGACGTCTCCTGGATCGGATCTCCGCTGTCCAAAGTATGGACAGGTTGCTGTTTGCTGCCATAGGATTGCTCCAAGAATATGGGAATGGCATTCGTGACCTCTTCAAGTCACACCTATATATATATATACGTATGTATATATATATATGCTATATATCATACACGCATATTATACTATCCGGTATGAACCAGCCACATACACAGGTGGCTCAGGGTCTCAAACTGAACAGGTTCCATGGATCAAGCGCTGTCGAATTGGGAAGTGTTCAAAATGATTCGCCCCAAAACTTCGGAGGATTTGACAGTGTGAAGCCAATGTGATTCCCAAATGCCAAACTCAACCAATTTCCTCAGATCCTTCGTAATGGTTTCTTTGGAAAATCTTGTGACTTGGGTGGTCAAGGGAGCAGTCCTTTGCTCTGATCCTGATCATGCAAAGCCATGGCCAACACTGAATGAAATTCTGTGCAACGCATCTCTGGGGCCTTGAGCTGCTCGTGAATCAGGTACACTGGTGTTTCTGCACATGACAAATCCATTCGGTCAGCTGGTCAACTGTCTGTTTCTATAGTATGTATGCTATGTTGTCACATGTAAGATATACGCAGGGCATGTCTGTGTGTGTGTTGATGATGTTTTGCTTTGCGGAGCTGATCACGAATTCACGGGGCTCCGCGGAAAGAAATTTGCGGGCGTGGTCGGCTCACCCTTGGACGCCGGGGCACTTTGAGCGCTGCGGGCCTGTGGGGAGCCATCTGCTTCACTACTCCAGGTGGAGACGAATACACCTGGAGCGTGCCAACCTGCCTCAGAGGCGCTAGTGCTTGCGTTCGGAAGCCAAGTTTGCGCTAACACTAGGGGCCATTGGTTCAAGATGATATGACTGTATTGTGTTTAAATATAATTACATATTACTATATATACACACATATGTATATATATATATTAGTATAATTTATTATAGTTCAAAGTTCAAAAAAATGGATGAGGCACAGTAGTCTGCGTGTCATGTGGCCATATTGTGACAAGTGAAAGGCAACTGTTCAGACATTTCTTTGGTCAACGAATGAGTGGCCAAGGCACAGCGATAAGAAGCTGCCGGTCACGATGGAGGGAGCTGTGCGCCAGTTTCAGAGCTGACCCCTTGTTCTCCACCGCTGCAAGCACCACCTGCCAGCTGTGGATTGAGGCAGCTGGTGGATGAATGCATGAGGAGCACGTCAGGCATGGTACGAATCCCGTGTCGACAATCGCATATACAAAGGCCCGGCGTAACTAGCTGCTGATCTATAGAATCGCTAGGAATCTACGGTGCTAGTCTGGTAATGTCTGCTTTGACAAGCGAGGTCCATGCATATGGACTGGGGCCTAGAGGGACACCAACAACAATCTGCAGACTCTGCTATGGGCCTCTCGGTCTTTCTTGAGCTCCTCCGATGCAAATTCCAGCGCAGAACCATCCTGCCAAGGGTGTCGCGGTGCTCTATGAGCTGCCTAAATTCTACGGCTTCAACCCAAAAATTCAGCGTACCACGCCAGGTCCTGTTGAACAGCTGCCATGACCACGCGCCAGTCCTGCGCCAGTGCAGGGATGGGCACGGGCTTTTTGAGTTCAAATGTCTTTTGGGGCCTTACAGGCATCAAGTTTGAACTTCATGTTGCACGAGCTTTGGGATTTGCCTGCCCTGTTCTTGCCGGCCTTGTAAGATTGTTGAAGGTTATATAATGTTATATTTTTTTTTCATTCTTTTTCATGCGAGCTGCCTGTCAGCCCGTCGGTACTTCTCGCCTGGTGGAACTGTTCTTCGAGGAATTCCAAGGCTAAACCATTCGCCCTGACCTTAGAAAGGACAAAAAACTGGCTTCAATGCGGGCAAGAAAACAGAACCACAGGGTCGTCAAAAGGATAATCATGTTTGATCTGTTTTGGTGTCTGAAGGACTGAAGGAAAAACATCCCAGCGCTCTTTTCAGATGCAGCACCACAGTGCCCCCCAGTCAAGGCACAGCAGTGAGAGCAATAGCGCGCTCCTTGCTCACTTGAGGCGGCAAATTCAGCAGGACCTGCCACAGCGCCAATTCCATTGAAATTTCATCACCAGTATCTTTTGATTCACACAATGTTCACTCCTGAAGTGAAAAACTGCTCCGTAACTTCCAAACAGGGGCATGCTCAGCAAATACCTTGGGATTGGGTCTCCACATCATGAAGATCATCTGGGGACAGCTCTCAGTCACTTCCCACAGCCTTTGGATTGTGCGCAACTTGCACTTCAACTGTATGGAGAAAATCTGGCAGATCCTCACAGCAATGGAGATATCTTGCCAAGGGCTTCCATTCAGGTTGCAGGGTGAATCAGCGGCATATGGAACACTATAGACTATAGGGTAACGTTTCCGTAGGTTCTTGATGGTTCTTGTAGGCCTGCAGGCGGGATCCATTCAAGGAAGATTCTCTCCGCAGTGAAAATCGTTGAAGTTTGTTTATTTCCGGATTGAATCGACATGAATCAACCATCAGTTCTTATCACATCACTATCACCACGCCCGTTTCCTTTCCAAGCTTGCAGTTCCCAGCCCGAGGTGACCGAGGTCTCCTCAATGTGGAGGTTGTCTTCCACCTTTCCCGGGTTTAGGAGAAAATCATGCAGCTCCTGAGGCGAGCTTCAAGATTCAACTCAATTGACAATATGCCAATCGTTGCAATGCTGTTGTACATCGTTTTAAAGATGAGATCCGATTGCTTTGCTCCCTCAACATGTCCAGAGTCTTCCAGGATTTCTGATTTGTCGGTCACAAAATCAAACCTTTAGAGGCGCCTCTGCAAAATGCTGGCAGTTTGAACCCATCAAGGAGTACGGCTGCCAGCCTTTCAAATGGGATCAAGGGGAGGTGCAAATGCCGGTGTTGCAGGTTGTTGACGACCTGACACCTCTCATTCCCTGCTCCAACTGAGAGCAGCAAAATTGTCTTACCAAGGCATTACGACTCCCAGCAGCACCTCTTGCGAGCGGCCCATCAATCCACTCAAAGAGCCTGGAGTAAACGACCAAGCGTTCAAAGATATGTAGAATCGGAGCGATAGTCACCCATCTCAACAAAAAACACTTCTGTGTGTCTCGACAGTCCACACCTTTTCATGAGCGATCTGCCCTGCTGCAAACTTTGATTTGCCCTTGCTTCAATCTTTTGTCACGAGTGAGTTTGCAAAAAAGATCCAGGCTTAAAACAGGTGCTATCAACCACAGGTTTGAACTGAACCTCAGAAAATGGCTGTGTAAGAAATGCATATATAAACAGCCAATGTTGGTGCCACTGGTAAGATTGCATTCCAGTAGATTCTGATAGATTCTCATAGATTCTGATAGATTCTGATGACGTTTTATGTTCTACTTTATTCATCTTTATTCTGCTTTGTTCTACTTTGTTCTCGAAAAAAAAAAAAGGCTACGTCTACGTGTGCGATGCAGCGCCGGCCTGGCCACAGTGATGCCAGATGCACATTGCCGATGCGACATTGCTGAGCACCTGACGCATCTGTGCGACTGCATTGGTTGCTCGAACAAGGACTCGAATCATCCGCAGTTAATGAACAGTTCAGCAGCTTAACTTCACATTCTCAAATGATCTAAAAAGATCTCAACTGTTTACACGATTGTTTACAAAATTACAAATGTTTAGAATCCTAAAACCAACAGCCATCATTGGGACATCATTTTGTCCACCTGTCCGGGTTTCGAGGCCGAATGAGGGCCGAGAAGTCCTGGCCATAAGCTGGGATGACCCACCACTTTCGGATGGGATGAATTCCACTGGGATGTGCAGCAGTTGTCTGCGCCAGATTTTGTTTTTGCGCAAAATGAAACTCCAGGAATAGCTTAGCCCAAATTGCAGATCTTACATGGCATATATGAACCCACCACGTTGGAAGCATTCGTGGGAAGGGTACCGCTCCAAAATGGGTTCTTTCTTGTACGGCTGGGGTGCTGGGACTTGGAACTCTTACACCTTTTCCATGTTCTGGAAGGCAGCACTTACAATTCATCTCACCAAGTCAAGCCACGAGGATCCCTTTTCTAAAGACATGTGTATATATATATATATATATTATATATATACATAATATATATATATACATATGTATATACATAATTATGTATATCACATATCAAAAAAAAACAATGGATGCGGTCTGCATGTCCATCTCTTTAGCACAGCCATTTTTCTCAGCGGCATTCGCCTTCTTTGGGACTCGCCTCAAGTGAAACACTGTGTACATGTTGCCTGGCTGTGGCAAGGGTCCTGCGGTCCTTCTTGGCGATGTCACCCATTAAACACACAAGGCTGCACAAGGCGGACAACACAAGGCTGCCCAGATTCGCGAAGTGTCTGGATTTGGGGAATCTAATGATATCAATGATATCTATACACGGACAATCTGGATGATCTCATTTCATTTAATTGTAGTTTTTGAGTTGGCAAAGGACTTGATATTGGTGCAGTGTACTAAATGTACTAAACATATCTAAACATCACCAAACTGACTCTTCGCAACACATGTTTCAACAAAAGCTAGCTCAAATCGAAAAATGTACACGTGAAGAACAATGCCTCCTTTCGCTTTGACAGGAATGTCAGAGTTCAGAGTCCAGTCTCAAAATCACAGAAGACCTTCATTTTTGCATTGCCTGCTGCTTCAAGGGCTGAATGTGAAAGAACCGCCAAGTGAAGCGTGATCCCCAGAATGCTCAATAGGTCTTCAAAAACTCTTAAGGCACATAAGCAGTCCAATCTCTCGTTTGTATCCTTTCGTGCAACACTGTGAATTACAGACTCAGAGTGTATCAGATAACTAAAAACGGACAAAAGAGGTCCCGCTTTGACTCAATATCTTGTGTTGTTCTCCCAAGTTGACGTTTTGGAGTCGCCTGTGTCCAGACTTGTAGTGCGCATCACCGCAAAGCCGGCTGAATACTCCAAAAGAGGTGCAGCTAGGTCAAAAACAATCGTGATACATGGTGATACATGGTGATACATGGTGATACATGGTGATACATGGTGATACATGGTGATACATGGTGATACATGGTGATACATGGTGATACATGGTGATACATGGTGATACATGGTGATACACTTTTACCTAAAGTTCATGAGAAAACCTGTTTGAAACATATTGTAAAACCGATGGAAATTGTCTACCACCTGCCCAGCTGCCTCGCATCGCCTAGCCGCCCTAGCCGCAGCGCACCACGCACTCAGCAGGCTCAGCCCAGCGATCTGCCAGAACGCAGGCGTCCACCGTCACGGTCACGGGAAAGTGGATGGGTTGCCCCTTCCTTTGTTCAGCCGCAGGTGTGGCCAGATGCTGAGCTCTGACACTGCCATATGAAAGGACCCAAGAAGCAAATCTGCCTTGAGTTTGAAGGTTTCGAATCTTGAGACAAACCCACAAAATCATCCCAGAATCCAAAGAAATGATCTGTTTTAGAGGAGATGACTGCAGAAGATCGTGTGCAAGATCTCCTTGACAGGTTCTCTGTAGAAGCTACTGTGCAAGATCCCTTTGTAAGGCTATTTGTACAAGGTGTCTATAAGAGATTTCCACGCAAGAGCTCTGCAAGAGATCCCACAGCATAAGATGTTTATTCAAGCTGTCTGTGCAAGCTCTCTATACAAGATCTCCTGGCAACATCTCTGTACGAAACCGCTTGCCAAGATCTGTGTTCAAGATCTCTATAAGAGGTCTCTCTTGGCAAGATCTCTTGATGAGATCTCTGTGCAAGCTTTCTAAAAGAGTTCCCTTGGCAAAGTGCCTGCGACAGATCTCTAAGAGTTCTCTGACAAAGAGATCTCTAAAAGAGGTCTCCCGGGCAAGCTCTCTGCGCAAGCTCCCTATAAGAAGTTTCTTGGCAAGATCTCTGTAAGAGACCTCTTGGCAAGATCTCAACAGATCTCTACGCAAGCTCTCTGTACAAGATTTCCATAAGAAGTCTCTTGGCAAGCTCTCTGTACAAGCTCCTTGAAATAGGTCTCTTGGTGAGATCTGTTGAAGAGATTTCTGCACAAGCAGAATCCTCTTGGCAAGATCCCTGTACAAGATCTCTATAAGAGGTCTCTGTACAAGGTCTCTATAAGAGGACTCCCTGGCAAAATCTCTGTGCAAGCTTTCTATAAAAGACCTCCTTGTCAAGATCTCTGCGCAAGATCTCCTAATGGGCACCACGCCACAACGCGAGCAATCTGACATGCCCGAAGTGCCGAGAGGGTTGCACGAGCGATCCCAAAACTCGCACCGCTCTGGCACGCCCAAAGTGCCGAGAGGGTTGCACGAACGATCTCAGAGTTCACACCGCGCCACAACGAGAGCGACCATGCTGTTTGGGGAAAAGAATTCTATCCAGGATGCTTTGTGTCTGAAATGCACACTGCGCTCTTGCCATTGCTTGGCTCCAGCTGCCTAAGCCTTCAAACCTTCCAAGCAGTTCCAAGTAACATGCGGCGCCTGAAATCACAAAAGTTCACTGCCAGGCCACAGGGAGCTATTGCTGTAGGTGACGTATGGATAGCCGTCCTGGCAGTGCTTCCACGTTCTTCTGCGTTGTTTTGCCAACACTGAAATATGCTGAGTACTTGAGTTCCAGGTTGCGGGATATTCAAAAAGAGTGGAAGTTCGCCTCATAAGTCAGGCTTGGAACTAGGCATATTCATCTAAAGATAAACCTTCGTTTCTTGCAGGCTCTACCCTGCTCCAGACCAAGAGTGAAGCGGACTGGAGTGTTCCCAGACATGGCATCCTCGCGACACTTGGCCAGCAGCTTCTCCCCAGCATCATCGCACAGCACCACGTGCCGCTCCCAAACCTCTGCCGCAGCCAGGGGGATGTGGCAACACAGAAACGAGAAAACAAGAGAGTTAATAGATGCTAATAGTACTGAAATGGCACTCTGTGTGTCTGCTTTGTCTAGCTTGGTTTGCAGTTTGCAGTACAAGTATCTGCTGTGAATGACAGGTTGCAAAAAGATGCAAAAAGCAGCAACTTGGGAACCATACAAGGGATGCTCCTAGTGCGTTCCCCAAGAGGATGCACCAGAACATCAACGAGCAACACGAAGGGCCCCACCTGTGGCTGAGCGCCCAGATTGAGGAGTCGGGTCTTCAGCTCCAACTGCCAGTTACTCCGCCTCAAAGATCGGGAGGCAACTTGAAACTATTTGTAACGGTGACATGTTGGTCATCAGTTTGACACGTTTTGAGACGGCGCTGAAACCACGACTGAAGCTGTCAAGCCATAGAATGCTGTAGAATACCATCAACATCTGCGTTTGGAGGTTTTTTTCTTCGGTTTCTCTTGAGTCCATGGCCACTCACGGATCCGGAACTCCCGGTCGCCGTGGGTCAAACACTTTTCCGAACCGAAGTTGGCCTTCGGTTGGGCACCGGATTTTTTGGGGAAACCAGCTCCCAATTATAATAAGTATAGTATGTGTCTGGCAAAAAGTCCATGATTTGAGAAAACGTCACAAAAAGGTAAATTCGAAGAAAAGGTGGGTTGCAACAACCAGCAGCGCTTTGTTGAAGTCTCTCAAACCTCGTTTCTGATGTTACCTGACTATCACTTTCACTGTGATCTGTTTGTCATGATTCTGTTGTGAAAATTTTGGGGTTCCATTTGGATCCTTGTCCTGGTGCGGTTCCAGCGGCTCCATGACGGGTCCCCTCTCCGCACCTTGGGTCTGAGGGTGCCATCCTCCGCCTCCTCAGGTGCTGGAGCATCCAAGAACCTGTATGGCGCAGGTGGGGTATGGCTGAAATGATCAACCACTACTTAATCCATTTGGATTCTTTATCTATGTTGATATATGTTGATACCCCAAAAGTGGATTGGTAAATTACTGAGACTTACTGAGACTTAAAGAATGACCAATTTGCAGGTGCATCGGTGCCCCCTTTTTTTCAGCCAAGCCCACTTGGGTGACGGATGGGCCTGATGAAACCTGAGTTTGAAACAACGGTGGAGTGATGTCACCAGAGGTCCCATTTCTTAATCCACTTCTGCAATGCCCACTCAGGCGACCCAAAGCAACTGGACCTGCCTGAGAATCAGCGCCAAACATCCTCGGTGTTCTATGTTGGGGAGAACTGTAAAGGTTCAATTGTTAGTGGCAATACAACACCAACGTATTTATATATATATCTATCTATCTACATACTGTAATATTTTATACTATATATCATATATAAAATATACATTGAAAATATTATATACATTATATACACTATATATAATATATAAATTAAAAATATATTGTATACATTTTATATATATATACTATATCAAATTTATTAATTACTATATTATATATATAATATATTGAATATATTTTTAATATATCTATGATATCTGATATATATATATATATATTAAAAATATTGTGTGTATTATATGTATTATAAAATTAAATACGTCAAATACTATGTTGTAAATGCTGAATATATTGTCAAAAAATATGTGTATTGTATGTATTATATATATCAAAATACAAACTTTATTAAATATCTATATAATCTAATCTGTATATATATATATATATTATTAATAGTTTATTTAAAAATATATATATATATTGTATATATTATATGTATTTGTGAGTGATTTAAATTAGATACTATTTATATGATATACCTTGCACATATTCAATATGACAATTAAATATATATATATATAACAATAATATTTATAATATCATATATTTAAAAAATACATATATTATATAAAATATATATAATGTAAAAAAAAATACAATATAGAATGTATATAATATATAGTTTTTTAATGTATTCAATATATAATATAAATATATATATATATACAATTATATAATTAAAAACATACTATATAATATACATATATATATATATATTAAATTTACAATATATATATATATACGTTGTATCATACTTTATTATGATTTATTTTTTATTAATATACACATTTAAAAATACAAATCATATTATACGTATATGTTTATGTACATGTACATGTACAAATACATATACATGTACAGAAACATTTACATATACATATTCATATGTGTAACATATACATGTAACATATACATTTACATTTACATATATTGTACGTACATACATACATATAGATGCGCATACATGTACATATGTATAGACGTAAAAATGATATCATATGAGTAATTTGAGTATGGGACAGTAATCCATTGGATCTCTGGCGTCTCTGGATGTTCATGTTCATGATGCGTGATTGCCGCCAAGGGTCTGCCAGGGAGCATTTTTTCGCTCACCAACTCACCCAACCGCTGCACCCAAAGATCCAAGCGTTCCAAGGTGCCACTGATGCCTCCAGCTCAGGACTCGACTGTGAAATGCGGCACACCAAGGCAACTATGAAATCTATGAATATTATATAATATTGAAGTATGAGGTTTTGATACAGAAAGCAACAAGTAAATGCGGCCAAAGCATGCCAAAGTGACCAATGCGAAGCGCAAAAGGGGCATTTTTGAAGTGTTTGTCATAGCTTGCGCCCAAACACTCCTGGCAGAAGCATGTAGCACTTTCAGAATTGTTAGCTGTCAGCGTCCACTGCTGCTATATGTTTCAAGATGCAGGACAAGCATTGAATCCAAGACAATCCAAGATAATCGAGGATAATCCCAAGTTTGCAAGGACGTGATGCAGCATCTTTGAAGCATGCCTTGAAAATGCCTTGAATCCCATCTCCCACATCGGTGTCATCGGTGTCGGGCCCATGTCCTTCACCGGCTCATACAGGTTCTCTCGCAGCTCATAGAGCCGCTTCCAGCAGCTCCAGGTCAATGGCAGCACATCGAAGAGTGCATCCACCTGGCCGCAGGAAATCTCTTGAATTCTCTTAATGCCGTTCCAAAGTTTGAAAAACCAGTGTGAAAATTTTGGGAAAATGTTTGGAAAGTATTTACATTCGTCCGCGCCTGGAGTTCTTTTTTGTCCGTCACCGGGGTCGCTGACTCTGGCAAACGGAGCGCACAGCGTACCTGCTGCAAGCTTGGCAGGAATCTGTGGCTACACAAGGGGTATTGGCAGAACTCCAAAGAGACATGTTACAACAAGTCGTTTCTCTGATTGGAAGGTGTTGTTCCTGTTTCTGCTCTTGGTTTTGTACTTACTTGTTCCTTTTTCTCGTGCTATCCGTTTTTGTTTTTTGGTTTCGTTTGAATCACACCCCCCAATCCTTGTCCTAGTCCTAGTCCTCGTCCTGCTGCTACTACTTACTACTTACTACTTACTACTTACTACTTACTACTTACTACTTACTACTTACTACTTACTACTACTTACTACTTACTACTTACTACTTACTACTTACTACTTACTACTTACTACTTACTACTTACTACTTACTACTTACTACTTACTACTTACTACTTACTACTTACTACTTACTACTTACTACTTACTACTTACTACTTGCTACTTGCTACTTGCTACTTGCTACTTGCTACTTGCTACTTGCTACTTGCTACTTGCTACTTGCTACTTGCTACTTGCTACTTGCTACTTACTACTTACTACTTACTACTTACTTGCCAAGCCCGTGTTTGGCTTAAGACTGGTGGGGGGGGTCCGGAGGGGGAAACGGAGGGGGGGGGTGGCGCACGGCAAGGTGCTAAAATTTCAAAAATAGGTGCTCAAATTTAAGGAAATAGGTGTTTTTTTGAAGAAACCGGGGATCCCGACTGGATCCCGACTGGATCCCGACTGGATCCCGACTGGCCAAAAGCGGTGCCCAAAAATGCAAAAATTGGTGCCCGACTGGGTCCTGACGGGATCCTGACTGGATCCATAGATCGGCAAGAACCCACTCCCGCACCTATTTTTCCCTTCCCAGACCCACCCTTGCCCCTATTTTCCTTTTCCGCGCACCAGCCGTGCACCAATACCCCCCCCCCCTCCTGCACCAAAACGGCAAAAGCAGTCTTAAGCCAAACGGGGGTTCTACAACTACTTACTACTTACTACTTACTACTTACTACTTACTACTTACTACTTACTACTTATTACTTACTACTTACTACTTACTACTTACTACTTACTACTTACTACTTACTACTAACTACTAACTACTACCTACTACCTACTACCTACTACCTACTACTACTACTACTACTACTACTACGGCTACTGCTACTGCTACTGCTACTGCTACTGCTACTGCTACTGCTACTGCTACTGCTACTGCTACTGCTACTGCTACTGCTACTGCTACTGCTACTGCTACTGCTACTACTGCTGCTACTAGTACTACTACTACTACGACTACTACCACTACTACTACTACTACTACTACTACTACTACTACTACCAGTACCACTACCACTAACACTACCATACTACTACTACTACTACTACTACTACTGCTACTACTACTACTACTACTACTACTATACTACTACTACTACTACTACTATACTACTACTATACTACTACTATACTACTACTACTACTCCTACTACTCCTACTACTCCTACTACTCCTACTACTCCTACTACTCCTACTACTCCTACTACTCCTACTACTACCACTACTACTACTACTACTACTACCACTACTACCACTACCACCACTACTACCACTACTACCACTACTACCACTACTACCACTACTACCACTACTACCACTACTACCCACTACTACTACTACTACTACTACCACCACCATACTACTACTACCATACTACTACTTGTACTAGTACTAGTACTAGTACTAGTACTACTCCTACTACTCCTACAACTACTACTACTACTACTGCTGCTACTACTACTACTCCTACTACTCCTACTACTCCTACTACTCCTACTACTCCTGCTACTCCTGCTACTCCTGCTACTCCTGCTGCTACTACTACTACTACTACTGCTACTGCTACTGCTACTGCTACTGCTACTGCTACTACTACTACTACTACTACTACTACTACTACTACTACTATCACCACCACCACCACCACTACCACCACCACCACCACCATACTACCACTACCACTAGCACCATTACTACTGCCACTCCTACTCCTACTATTCCTGCTACTACTACAATACTACTACCACCACCGCTACCACCACTACTACCACCACCACCACTACACTCCTACTACCACCACCGCTACCACCACTACTACCACCACCACTACACTACTACTACCACTACAACAATTACTACTCCTACTACGAGTACTACTCCTGTTACTCGGACTACTCCTACTCCTACTCCTACTTTTTCCTTCTTCCCCAATTACTAAGCCTCTAGTGCCGGTAGGTCTAGTCTACAGCTAGTTATAAGATGTACACGGCACTAAACTGATCGACGAGTCCTCATGTGGTCTCCGGTCAATAGCTTGTTACGGCAAGCACTTGCTACACAAGCTTCTCCAGTTTTATGGCGCTGTCTTCGTCTCCCCGTCTTTTTCTTCTTCCTTCTCTTCTTCTCATTATTCTTCTTCTCCTTCGTCTTTTTCTTCTTCTTCTTCTTCTTCTTCTTCTTCTCTTCCTCTTCTTCTTCTTCGTCTTCTTCTTCTTCTTCTTCTTCTTCTTCTTCTTCGTCTTCTTCGTCTTCTTCTTCCGCTTCTCTCTCCGGCTTCCACCTAGAGTACACATCAAACTCCGTTGGGGCCACCTCTATCGCCTGCGGGCTTGCCGCAGGCAATTAATAACATTGAATAACCAAAGACAAGTGACAATATTATGTAAAAATTCATATGGGACAATACGGACAATAGCCACCCCAGAGCTGTCCAGCGCTGCACACCTCATACTTTCGATGTCCCTGGCGCTCCATGTACTGCTCCACCTCCAATGACATCACGGGATCAAAGTTGCCCAGGCCAAAGCCTAGCCATGGCAAGTTGGAACGGAGCCCTGCGAAAAATCTCAGTGGACACAGCGGCACATCCAAAGTCATACAAATTTATCCAAATTCCATGTTGCTGCAGAAATGTGCAGAACCAATATTTCACCGCCAGCTCAACATAACATGAGCCAACAAAGGTGTCATTTCCTGCTTCTTCTGGATTTCTGATGGATATCTATTGGGTTCAAACCTCAGCATCCCAAATTGCCATTGGTCCTTCTGAGCCCCTCAATCCCGAGCCAAGCGTCCGAAGCGAGAAAGATACATCATTGTGTCAAAGTCTACTTTTGTAGACGACACTAATGATGCGATCGACACCGTAGTGGCTGTCGGTCCAGTAGGGCTGTCTTCCAGCTTCTCAACATACCTGACAGGACCATGCAAAGAGAAGATCAATCAACCACAAACAACAACAAATATTATACCAGTCCGCACAAGGCAGTGGCCGAAGTTTCAAAGATAGGGAACTATAGGAGAGGTGAGTTGTTGTGATGCATGGATGGCAGAGCGAATGCATTGATGGACCGAAAGATGGTTGTGATTTTTGGAGTGGTTGCAGTGGTCGCCTCACCCACAGCTGCAGGATGTAGTATGGTGTAGCGATCTGCAATGCAATTGTAGTTGTAGTCATAACTGTAGTTGTAGTGTAGTGGTAGTTGTAGCTGTAGCTGCAGCTGTAGCTGTAGTTGAAGTCTGGTGTAGTGTAGTGTAGTGGTAGTTGTAGTTGTAGTGTAGTTGTAGTTGTGATGTCGTTGTAGTTGAAGTTGCAGATGCAGTTGTAGCATCACTTGTAGTTGTAGTTGCAGTTGCAGTTGCAGTGTTGTTGTTGTAGCTGCTGTAGTTATTGTAGTTGCTGTATTTGCCGTACCTGTAGCTGAAGCGCAGTTGAAGTTGTAGCTGTAGTTGTTGTAGTTGAAGAGTACTTGAAGTGTAGTTGAAATGTAGTTGCAGTGTAGTTGAAGTGTAGTTGAAGTTGTAGTTGTAGCTGTAGTTGTAGTTGTAGTTGAAGTGTAGCTGTGTTGTAGCTGCAGTTGTAGTTGTAGTGGTAGTTGTAGTTGTAGTTGTAGCTGTAGTTGTAGCGTAGCGTAGTGTAGTGTAATTAGTGTAGCGTAGCGTTGCGTAATGTAGTGTAGTGTAGTTGTAGTTATAGTTGTAGCATTGTAGCTGTAGTTGAAGTTGTAGTCTAGTGTAGTGTAGTGTAGTGTCGTGTCATGTAATTAGCGTAGTGTCGTGTAATGTAGCGTAGTGTAGTGTAATGTAGTGTAGTGTAGTGTACTGTAATTAGTGTAGTGTAGTGTGATTTGATTAGTGTAGTGCAGTGTAATTAGTCTACTGTAGCGTAGCATATTTGTTTTTTTGCATTTGTAGTGTAGTGGTAGTGTAGTGTGGTTGTAGTTGCAGTTGCAATTGCAGTTGTAGTTGTCTAGCTATCTATCTATCTATCTATCTATCTATCTACCCATCTATCTATCTATCTGTCTTTCCGCAAGATTGAAAACGAAGCAAGTCTGCGAGACATCCTCAATTTTCGAAGTTGACAACATCAAAACGAAGCAATTCTGCGAGACTTCCTTCAACAATGGAAAGTTGAGTGCAGAGCTGACAGCCTCGTACCAATGTGTTTTGCAATTTTTCCATTCCATCTGTCTAAAGTACTGCGCCTGCCACGAAAAAGTGATGCCAGGTCATACGAAGTGCTGCACCTGTCACCCAAAATCATCTTAGCAAACCTGAAGATCCGATGCTGCGATGCTCCAAAATGCAACCCGTCTCAGGAAATTCAAATCAGCGCCCTGACCTCCTAACAGCTCTGATGAACATGTCTCTTGTACTGCCCCTGCCACGCGAATTGCATCTTTCCAGATCCTCTTCAAGTGTCCCACGCCTGCCATGGTTTTTAAAAATGCTACAAAACCCGCACGTTTTGTTCACTTTTGGTAAGGTGCAGAATCCCTTGCGCCTGCCACGCAAAACCACATCTGAACCTTCAAAAGTGGTCCGCCGAGCATGTGGTGTTTTTAACATTTTGACTTGGAAATGTGCTCTGTGCCACAACGGCGTGCACTTTTTCAACATGTCAACTTCCAAAAGTGCTCCGAGAAAGGTGTGCTTTGTAATTTTTTAGTTCGAAATGTGCTTCGCGCCACAACGGTGTGCACTTTTCGACATGTCAACTTCCAAAAGTGCTCCGACGCTGGTGTGTTTTGTATGTTTTGGCTTGGAAATGTGCTTTGCGCCACAACGGCGTGCACTTTCTCGACATCTCAACTTCTAAAAGTGCTCCGAAGCTGAGGTGCTTTGTACATTTTGACTTGGAAATGTGCTTTGCGCCACAACGGCATCCAATTTGTCATCTCTCATCTGGCCAGCTGGCTCCGCACCCGCCGCTTTAGCGAGCCTACTTTTCGACCCTCCGGAGCCACAAATCATTGGAAAAACAGTGAATCGCCACTTTTTTACCTTTTCGCGCACCTGCATCTTCTTTCTTCTCACTCTTTCTCTTCTCTGATCTTCTCTCTTCTTCTCTTCTCTTCTCTGGCTCTTCCCACCTCTGCTTTTCCATCTCTCCATATTGTCGGAAGTCTGACTTCAAAACTTCCTTCGATAAGAGATTTTCTGCGTGTCCTTCTCAAGCAGCACTGAATTCTGTTGGGTCGGCAAATTTCCATTCAACAACAGATCACAGTCACCACAATTTGGGTGCAAGTGAAAATGGGACAGTTGTAGTTGTGTGATCACACCTCCAGAAACTCAGCCTTACATCTTCAAAGCGAGTTGTTTTAACTGTCGCATCTCCACGCCTGTTCACTGTACTCTTTCTGGAGCCCACTGCGCCCATGGCACGGTCAAATGCACCAGTGAGGGTTAGGGGTGTGCCCCAGAGCTGAATATCCTGTGTTTCTGCCTGTGTAGATCCATCAGCTAAAAACATCAACATAGCCACGATCCTCGAGTCAATTGTTTCATATATTTCAGTTTGGTTTCATGTTGCTTCCAGACTTCTCCGCGGCTCATTTTCTGTTGTTCGCTGAAAAAAAACTAGTGCGATCATTGTGTTTCCAGTATCAGCCAAACGGCTGCAGCTTCCGAATCTGAATGTCACGAGTCCTGGTGCCTTTGACAAAATCTTAAACTATCAGGAGGTTGGACCACGGGCTCGTACTACGATTTCGACCACACTATATAAACATCTGGAGACCACAGCTCACCTCTGAGATCTGTTTCTGCCTGCGATTGAAGTATGGTTTTCTTCAATCAAACATGATCAAAAGTGATGAAAACGTATATGGCAATATATGACATATTATTTGACTCGTATGACACCCATAGCCCCCTTGCCACACTGTCCTGCATAAAGTTGGTGGCCCTTGGGCCCGTCGCAAGCATGATTTCCTCGGCTCCGCCCTTTGGCTGTCAGTTGTGGTTGGCAGTCATATTAATGATCAGTTTTGGTCTCTGCGTACCTGGGAAGCCGACCAACTTGTCAGTCTTCTTCTCCAAGCAGATGGTCAATTCCCCTGAAGTCAGCGAACACAAAATGCCAGCTGCGAAGGTCCGGTGAAAAGTTTCGGCTGACAGACGCTTGAGACATGTTGAGTTTGTCCAACGGGTAGAATGTACAAGAAAGATAAGCCATGATAAGCCCAGACTCAAAGGCCGGGACACACCCAGCTTGCCCCCAAACCCCCAATCTTTTGAAGCTGTCTATCGAGGTCTGAAAGTGACCTATTGTTGATAAGAGGCAGCCTTTGCTTTGCATTGCTGGTACGAGCAACACACAAAACCAAATCACGGTAGTACTATGTCTTTTTATGTCTTTGTAGATCATCATGTAGCTGCCATAATGGTGCAGCCACCAATGAAAAACGTAACTTGTCGATCGCAAATTGTTTTCGGCTATGCCATCGCAGCAGAACCTCCATCCAACTAAGCAACGCATAGCAATGCCCATTGCCACATCCCACTGCATCTCACCAAGTGGCCTCCTTGAACATGTATGAAGTTGAAGGAGTGGTAAGTCAACCAACCGCGAGGTAAATGCGACCAATCCTGCACGCTTTGAACTTTGGGCAGGTCTTGGGAATTGTCTTGGGATTGACACCCTTGCGATAGGTGGAAGCTTTTCCCTCCAGGAACCCGTTCCAAGCAGAAGGTCGCAAGATTAGCCACTTGAAATGTTGGTCTTATCCAGCTGGAAAATGGATGAAAATGGCGCAAGATCTGGGAACCACGGGCGCAATGACGAGCAAGAAGTTAAAGGGCGACATGGAACTTAAATCCAGAAGGACGGCTTCTTACAGGGTGAACAGTTTTGTTGCGAAAAGTTCTCAATTTATCCTCTGCATCCATGAAATCAGCAAGTAGCAGGAACACCGTGGGACTGCAGAAGGCCCAAGCCCAAAAGATTTTGGTGCATGAAGCCACCACAACAAACTAGACAAGAGAAATAGTGCTGCAAATTGCTGCAATGAATCTTCATCAGAAGGGCACCCAAAAAACGCGCTCACCACAGTTCCCAGTCATTAGAGGGGGTGCGCAGGCGCTTAGGAATTCCAAAGAGCGGCAAACAGCACCTACTATAGTCTCATAGAGTCTCTGTGTGGAATTTGCAACGCCAACAATTTTTCTCTGATTCTGTGGGTCAGTTTGTATGAACTTGGCTGACCATTTCAAATGTCTACTGTCTGATGTGGCTTTTGTGTGTGTGTGATCCAGTACATGTGATTGGATTGTATTATATCAGAGATGCACATGTTGCCGGTCTGCGGTACATGCTGAAACATGCCAGCTGATGGACAGGGACTCCTGCCGGAACTCTGTGAAGCCTGTGATCAGCCTGTTCAACTGCGACCTTGGAGCAAAGGAATCTCATGGAATTTGCACCGTGACTCAAGGCTGAAGAGATTGGTGGATGTGGTGAATGCTATCATAATTACACTGGATTGCACTAGGATGTTTTCCTCCATGTTTAAAGTCATGCTCCCAACGAGGATCTCTGCACGACTGTACGACTGATGAATTCCTGCCAGGTTGCGAAACTACACGATCCGGCGGACTCGCGAGACGCAGCAAGGTGGTCTTCACCTCGTTGGAGGCAGGGGTTTGGTATGACAACTGGTGAGGATTTGGATGATTCTAAGTATTGATTGTCCTGATGCTGATGATGGTGATGATGATGATGGTGATGATGATGATGATGGTGATGATGGTGATGATGATGATGATGATGATGATGAGGAGGAGGAGGAGGAAGAGGAGGAGGAGGAGAAAGAGGAGGAGGAGGATGAACTTTCTGTCAAGCCACGGGGCACAGCTCTTCTACCACTTCAATGCAAGCAAGGACAAGTGTCAAGTCAATAATATACCCTGCATGACGTTCAATTCATCTCGGAGCGTCCAAGTGGATCTACCACGCAGAGGCAAGGCTTGACACGTGTTCCTGTTGACACCTTGCTAAGACTTTTTGAGCTCCAAACCCACTGGTCTTCATGGTCTTTATACTTGAAGTATCCTCAGCCGCCCAATTCTTCCCAGTTGATGATTAATGCGTGTTTCCGGGGTTTTCCTCTGGTACAACTGTAATTCCAATGGCATTTAAGCACTAACTCTGTCATCTTCAAATCTTTCAAAAAACGATCGGGAACAAACGGGAACAAATCGTCCAAGCCACTTTCCAACTCAGTCTCTTCGCCTTTCTCGTCAACATCCTTCAGTTTGATCACATAGACATTTGCAAGTCAGGGGGTTCTGAAACCAGCTGGAGTTTGGGGCAACAAAATGTCATAGTGTCATAGTACTTAAAGAACTTCAACAAAAAAGCGAGAACCACTCAGCAGTGAGACTTGCCTGGGGGACTCTGTGAAAGATGGCACACATAGCTATTACAACAGTTTGAGTAATGATTTTATACAGTATACATATACATTTACATTTAGATATGTCCTCACATATTTTTGGACAGGGGCAAGCTTTCCTTCCTGTAGATGCCATTCCTAAGTTTGAGAATCCCTGGCAAACTGGTCCTCCACAGTGATGCAAACTACCCAGAAGCCCCACCATGTAGCATTCCATCCTTGGTTTGCTCGACCATGACAATCCCTTTGCACTTGCAAGGGCAAGGCGGCAACATGAGGGGCACTTCCCCTTCAGGCTTAGGTCACAATTGGAAGGGGCCCAGGGAACGAGCTGCGAAATGGAGGGCAAGAAGTGAGCTAAGCATCTGTGTGTCTGGGCGTGCAGAACGTTCTCTGGGATTCAAGACCAAAGATGTTCAAAGACATCAACCAGACACAGGTATACATATTATATATATACACACACACACGGTAGATTGATTCTTTGATTCTGTTGAGACTTGAGGGAAAAGCTACAGAAAGATATGTAGCTTACACTGCTGTCTGAAACTCCAGCTGCCTCAAAGTCTGGCCAAGCATCGTGCAGGCATAAATCCACCTCCTCCCTCCCCACACATGAGGAACGACATGGCTGCATGTGGCGTGCTGGCGCGGCAGATTGAAGATGTCAAAACATGGGAGCAAAGGAAAAACAGAATGGAAGACATCCATGACTCCATGGCCTATCCTCGCTGCTTTTGACGCCTCTATCCAAGGGCAAAAGAAGCCGGCGATTTTGGGCTTTCCTGGAAACTGTTTTGTTTCAAACTCGCAATGTGTTTGTAGGTCTGGGTGAACACGCCAATGAGGCCTATCACCATTGCTCAGTGCGCGGGTCTATTTCCTTGAGCCTGTCTTTGAGGCTACTCGGCGACGCCGCAACTGTAGTCTTAGACATGTGTATAATACATTGTGCATATATATATATACATGGAAAAACAGATAGATAGATAAATAGATAGATAGATAGATAGATGGATAGATGGATAGATAGGTAGATAGGTAGATAGGTAGATAGGTAGATAGATACATAGATAGACAGACAGACAGACAGACAGATAGACAGACAGACAGATAGATAGACAGATAGGTAGACAGATAGGTAGACAGATAGATAGACAGATCGGTAGGATGATCAAATTAGATTAGATTAGATTAGATAAGGTTGGATGAGACTAGATTAGATAGGATTAGATTAGATTAGATTAGATTAGGTTAGAGATTAGATTAGGTTAAGATTAGATTAGATAGGATTAGATTAGCTTAGATTAGGTTAGATTAGATTATGTAGATAGGATTAGATTATATATATATAGACTAGATTAGATTAGATTTAGATTAGATTGGATCAGATTAGACCGGATTGGCTGTAGATAGGATTAGATTATATAGACTATAGATTAGATTTGGACCAGATTGGATTAGATTGGATTAGGTTAGGTTAGATTAGATTAGATAGACAGATAGATAGATACTAGCTGTTTCTGACTCACTGATGCAATTTCTGCATGATATGTTGGATTTGATCCCAGCAGCTTGCCTACAAGCGGCAAAGTGTCCCCCAAGCTAGTCTCGAAGAAGACCTTCGGACAAGCTGCTACCAAAGTCGAGGACAAAAAGCGGCAGGTGTGCCTGCACCTTTTCCACTCGGGAACCAAACAAGTGAATAAAATGGAAGAGAGCCCACGGAATCGACCAAGCATTATTCATTCAAACATGATTTAAACAACTTAACTCACCACCCTGGGCCTCAAAGCGCTGCCGCAAGAGTCCACTGGAACCTCAAAGCCAAAAGCAAAACTCTTGTGCTGCAGTGTGTACGTTGGCCATTCGAAGGGCCGATGGAAGACGTTGTATCGAAGTACCTGGCCTTCAGTGTCGGTTACCATTAACTGCATTTTGAAAGAAGGCTCAGTCCCAGGCATTTTAAGATCAACTTTGCTGTGTGGTGCATCGACACATCGGGCTTTGCAGCCTTGATGAGCCACCACGGCGCAGACATGACAGGGCTAACTTCACCCCTTTTCAGTAGGACTTCGGCTGTCTCATTTCAGGAGGATATCGCTAAAAATCTCTAAACAATTTCAAACATCTCTAAACTATCCAATGGCCCGACGACTTTTGTAATGCATTCGCCTTGAAGGAGACCTCTTGAGGCTCAATCTCCAAGCTGGTGGCCTGTCAAGAACTTTCAAAGCTCGAAACTCAGGTGACTGACATCCTCCAAAGATTTCAAGTAGGCACACGTGGACAAACCTTTCGGATCCTTTCTTTAGCTTGGAAATCTAGCATACAGTCTAAGTTGAAATGACTTGGTCCCATCCTGGTTGCAAAGAAATTCATGTGTTGCGATCGACAGTCGCGACTGCAGCTTTTCAGTGTGGACCAGCAGCCTGACCAACAGGTCTACCTGGTTCCCCGCCCGCATCGCCTGGCCAAATGCTGTGGGACGCTGCCGCCGCTTGCCTGACCCAGAAGGCGATGAGAGCAGTCCTTTTCTGCAGACAATTATTAAATATATCTGCAGTATGTATATGATAGTCTATAGATGTCTATAGTCTATATATCTGTAGGTATTCTCTGTAGGTATTCTGTAGATATCTGCAGTATAAATACTACAAATTGATACAAATTGCACTTATCAGGCGTGGCTTGTGCTTGGCCCTTTACCGAAGCTGAAGGCAGGTTGTGGCGTGTACACTCATTTCGCCAAAGTCTACCCGAAACGATGGCAGGACGCGGGTTTGAAGGGGATCAGAGATATCCAGCTCCAGTTGCGGAATCATGGTAAAATGATGTAAAATGATGTACCAGTAAAATGGGGGTTCATGACGGTTCATGTGACAATACACTCCATGAACAGGCGCCTGAGATCTGATCATCGCACGGAGCACGGAGCGAAGCAAAAACCAAGCGATGGTCTGACCTCTTTGGGAGAAGTCTCAAACCAAAGCTGGAATCAGGGTACAGGGGGGCTTTATTTCATGCTATTGAAAGCATCAGTAGAAAGCTTTTGTCACTTGACTCAATGATTCTTTGGAGCGAGCTCAAAGCGCTGAGATGATGAAACCAATTTATCCTCAGCTTGCTCATCTGATGTGTGGGTGCTCAGGAAAAGCTTCAGTAGGATGGTGATTTGCTCTCGGGAGCCAAGCCCCTGCCTTTTTTTACATTGCTTTGTTTCGCTCATGCCTGCCATTTGGACTGACCTTGTTTGAAGGCTAATATATTCAACCTCCCGCACTTGAACAACATTGCATGGTTTCCTCGCAAGGTTTGCAGGTCTTAACATCTCTATCATATATCATGAATTATTGGCCTTGGAATGGCATCTAAGCCACAACCAGGCTGGGATTCCCTTCGTGGAGTTGTTGAAACATGTTGAAACCAGAGCATTCCGAGGTTGCCCACTGCTTCAGTCCAGAATGAACGCTGTACTGACCCACAGTGATAGCAGCACTGGCCGCTTGCGCGATTGACGGAGAGTACGTAGTATTCAAGGTGTCCCTCCGAAATTCGCTGCTTTTGCTTTCAGCCCACTGCAACTGTCAGATTTGCACTTGGCCCTAAAGTTCAGGTGTCACACAGGTTTTCATCACAGTAGGGGTTTACAACCATCAGGCACTCAACAAGCACGAGTGACCTGGTCTTGGAGCGAAAGAGGATGCGATCAGTCCAAGCCTTAGCACTTCAAAAGAACTTGTGGGATCCACAAGAAGACGGCATGCAATGGCATGCCACTAGCCCGTGGCCACCAGTTGGCAATCTGCCATAACCATGACCTGATAACCTCTTCTTGAATCCAAAAAATCAGAGATTTGAAGCTCCCAGGCGGTGAGGCAGAGATTTGTGCAATTTTGTGAACTGCACCGCATTGCACCGCTACCCCAGAGGCTCCATTTTGCTCTGCATCGCGAGGTCGCTCAGCTAGGCAGGGGAAGGCGCTGGCGCAGGAGCGCTGGCGCTGCCTGCACTGGAGCTGCATCTACAGCTCTGTCCCTGGTGCTATGGAGATTCATCAATTGTTGTTAATTAGTTAATGGATGTTAATGGTTAATGAATTATGGTTAATCCATGCGCTAATCCAAGGTCTCCAGCTCAAGCAAGCCTTGTCCTGGCAATTTCCTTGGACCACCAGTGGACCAGTGCCCCCAACCTCAGCTGGTCGGTTTGTTTTGCTGTCATCCCATTGATTCAGCTGGGACTTTCAGACGTTCGAAGTAGTCGTGGGCAAACAGGCGGTTGTAACCCATCCACACCTGGCCCCACGTGTCGGCATGTTAGACCCGCTTCTGAATGTCAGTTCAAGCTGAATCTGGTGTTGCCTTGAGCAATTTAGGTATCACCTAGTCAACCTGGTCTTCAAGGGTTGTTTTCGGAAGAGACCCTGACTTTCGAATGCCAAAGCTCTGTGAATCGCTTGATACCTTTTTCAGTGAAGCATATTCTACATGCTGTCTCTTCAGCATCTTGTTTTGGTTAAAATTGTTCGGCTTTGTGTCAGTTCAACCCCAGTCAAACAGCGTTGAGACTCCATGGGTTCATCATGCTGAATGGTTTGCGCAAGAGCAATACCATCAGAACAAACCCAGCGCCTCTGTTGGCACGCCAGAGGAACCTGCCCAGTGTATGTGTGGTTCAAAAATTGCCTTCAATCATATATAATATATATATATATATACAATCATGTAATATAATGTGTATATATATACATATA